GATGACAAGAACTATTCTGCATCGATGACGAGGTCTTGTTTAATAATCGTTCGGAGCCGATTGACAAAAAACAAAACATGTTATTGCAACGCTTGTTCAAAGTAGGACACATTGTCGTAGCTTATGATTACACATATTGCTTCCGCCGACTCCAGGTAGAACGTCACATCTCAAGGATGTGTACTTTGTTTCTGTCACTGCATCTGCAGTGCGTAATTAATCCGACAAATTTGTCAAAGCGGAGATACAAAAGCCTCACTCACGATCCATAACGCGCGGCAAATGGATACACATGCATGCCAATTCATGACTGGTCGCGGGCCAGCCCAATAGACTGAATCTGCCTGCGCATACATCACGAAAAGATGCCACTACAGCTTCAGTTTTGTTCCGGCCAGGTCCCTTTAGCTTACTCAATCCATCGATCACAGGCTTCAAGAAATTTCTAGCCAGCTCTACCGCAATGTCTCTGTATGTTAGAAAATCTGCATTCAGCATGAAAAGTCCGTCAAGATATCAGAACTTCACGTAATGTACGTGGTTACGAAACATGTTTGTAAGTATCTTTTTACGATAACAACACCGGCCAAAATTGGTGCCGTATGTCCGAATCGGCTACGACGACTCGACTTTGGTTGTTAGGAATCAAAGGGGTGTTTGAATCAAAGGGGTGTTTGAAGGTTTAAAGTCTTCTTGACCATCATTAAAAGTAGAAGCTCTGATATAATTTAACATAACCCAGTCAATGCTGATAAGTGCGCAGTCCATTTCCGCTGCCACCTCTTTCGCTTTACCGCAAAGCCCAGTACCAACTCATACGTGCGCCTACTGTCACGCCACGCGTTCCTGCAGATCTCCTGATGCAAAAAATGACGGAGAAAGGGGTAGTGCAATGCACAGCCCTGCATACGTGTAGTTGCAGTTTATCTCGTGTCCACTGCGTAATTGTCGCCAAAAAGTCCTCGACGATGTTACCTTCGCAGTGAATCTCGAAATATGAAGACCAAGCGTACGCGTTCTGCAAAAAGCTACTTTAACACAGCACCGAGTTTGCCAGTAAGGCTGACTTGCCAGTATGTTTTACTCTAAGTGTGCCTTTTCCTTTCGGTAGTGGTTGATTTTTTTGTGGCTCTGCATTCGAGTGAGAGGCTACGTCGCCATAGCCCGCGCTTGTCAACGACGAAGTATCGATCATTTAGCTTTACAAGGAGAAGCGGCAGAGTTGGGAGCATACGTGTTATACACTTGGTTAGATGCACTATTCCGTGGCTTGCCACCGCAGACTACGTTCATTTTTCAGTCCCCATAATGCGTCATCCGCAAACGCAGCGTGTCAGGAGGCATTATTTAAGCAAAATTCGCTTGAGCATTAATGAAATGGCGTTCGAAAGCAGGGACTGCTTTACGACAGCCTGCCTCGCTAAAATACCCGTGTCCATCAATCGTCATTGTTTTCGACAGGCTTCAAGGTTACAGAAGACAAAGTTGTCAATGGCAGTTATGCCATTGACCAGCGCAAGGCATCCACACGCACTAGCAAAAGAGTTGCATACATGGAAAGCCATACCTGTTCACCTTTCCTACAAAGGCTAATCTCCTGCTTTGTGCCACTGCTTCCCTTAATCACCGTACTCGTGAAAGATAGATTCGTCGTGAGTAAAAATATCATAGGATTATCGATTGCAAAAGGTTCGAGTCAGCTGACGTCCGAGCAATCACTGGAGAAGGTTTGTATCCCCTTTTTGTTATCGGTCGATTTCGCGAGGGTTCTCTCAGCATTATACAAATCGAACATCGTCGCCTCTCTCACGCCCCTGTAAATCGAATCCTTTGTCTGGTTCCTGCAATCTGTATACGCATCGATCGTCCAGCGTTTTGTGATGCACTTGGACAATTTTATAGATGATCCTTCATCAAGACCAAGCAAGTCATTTCTAATAATGTGACTTTCATAGTATGCGCGTGGACCTCAAACTTAATTCCTGAAGGTAAAAGTCGATCTTCTCGCACAAGTCCTCGTCTTGCATGGAGTTTTGTTGTGCTCCACACTGTGAACCAGGAGATGAAGCCCCTCGCCCGAACACGTAACAAGTACCCACGTGCTGAGTGCACGGTACGCACCTTTGATATTGTTGGTTGCTGCTGTCAATACGCGGTCCGGATGCCGCTTCTCCCCATTATGAATCTGACGAATTCAAATAAGTACAACATAATGACGCGCCGACTGTACGGCGCTATCACTCTTCTGAACGGCTTTGCGGTGATGCTTCTCGAGGTAAGTAGTTATATTCGTAAGTCTTTACAAGTCGTTCCACCCGCGTTCGATGCTGTCTTGCCTTATCATCATTACTATCGTCACCACCTATCCTCCTGCTTGTCGTCTACGTTGCCTCTTTCGACTAAAACCACGAACGCTACAAACGTGGTCAGTTCCATGGTCGTAACAGCTGCCCGTCTTGCCTTATGTAGAAGCTGGCACTCGTGCGCTTTGAATTCCTCAAGTAACGTACAGATCGTTGCTTTTCACCTGGGTTTATAGCTTTTCCTTTCGTTGCGTCTACTCCGCTTCTTCCTCGCTAGTCTCTTCCACCCCCTTCCACAAAGTGAGGCTCTTCCTAATACTAAAGCGTCCCCACCTAGGGTGTAATCGTCATTAGTAGCCTCAGAGTCGGACAAAGTTACCCATTTTCTAGTCCGATATCATACTGGCCGAGGAGTTCTTGCTTAGCCTTTGCTAGTCGATTATGCCGCATTGTTCATTTGTTTAGCCCCCCATTGTGCCCGTGACTGTCTACGAACTCAACGCTGGTTATGGTAAGAGATACGTGAATGTATACAAAATGTGCACTAAGTTCGTTGTGTTGAGCCATAATGGCGTCGTGGTCCTGCTTACGCCACTCCATGGCAGTAACGTAGAGAATGGGCCCTCTTTACGAGCATTCGAATTCTATAACCTATCGAAGTTTGCTGAGATTGCTTCGCTAGAATTTGACGTTGTGTCGTTGTGGCCTATTAGACTTATCCGCTCCAGCGCCATGAGAGACGACGTGTCCAAATGGGTTCGCGAAGCACCTTCCTGGCACTATATTATTCACAGCCATGCAGCAGACCTACGGTATCTTTGCCGAAGACCATTATTTTCAATGGTGGTACATGATATCATTTACACAACGCTAAACGTGACTAGACGCCATGAAACATCAGGAGTAGCGATTGGCTTCAAATTGAAAGCGGTTGAAAACGGCATGTGCTGCGACGGTCTGATACGGCAGTAACTTTGCCAAACATAGACGGAGGGAAAGTGCCTACCAAATGATATGCTTTCTACATGAATGACCTTGCTGAGGGTCAGCGGCACAATTATATCGGTCACTTGTACTTAAACGTTTGCTTACCTTACGTTCTCCTTGATGCGTATAATGACACTTAAACGTTTGCTTATCTTCCGGTCTTCTTGATGTGATCATGCATGAAAATGGTGACTCCCCAATTTATGGTAACAACATCGATGCAGCAGTATGCTATGATGCATATGTTAGGAAGGGTAAGCGTAAATCCTACTCCAGATACAACTTATTCGGCGATGCGGGCGGCCCCCTTGAAATCGAAGACCACTCTAAGTGAAGATTCAAGACGAACGACCTTGATGTGTAGGCATTTGTTAAACTGTGAGTCCAGTGCTGACCAACGTGACGATACGTATTGTGCGCGCTAGAAGGAGCACTCAAAGTCTGTCAATCTTATCAGTTCGCATCTGGAAAACACAAATTGCACCTGATCCCTTCATAAACGTTCTGCAAGAACAAGGCTTACGTTTCACATCTCTTGATTGCAAGCACAGCGCATGCACATCGGTGACATTTTCAGTCAGAAAAGGAAGCACAGGTTCACTAAGCGGCGTAAATACATGATGAGACACAAGATGTGACTACATGTAAATTATGCATTTGTTAGCGAGTGAGCTCGTCGACAAAAGGCTCATAATGATGCAAGTTACGCCACGTCGCTTTCTTTTTCGATTTTTCCGATGTCTCTCACAAATGTCTTCGCAAGACAAAACTATCGTGATCTGTTTTCGGTTTGTGCGCCTATCCGAACGTCTGTTGATATTGGGATGGATCCAAACCAACGACATGTTGTTTAGCCGAACTCAGAGCACGCGACGTTAGCGAGACACTGGTCAAGTAGCGTTTTTGGCAGCAAGATGAGCCACAACATAACATGACAGGTCGAGCACTAACTCGTTGATGAGCAAACACAAATCCCACGCATTCTTTACCAGCCTCGGCTGGTCCATCATGTCACGTATGAACAACATAGCCGATAGTTCATGTCGTCTACACTATCAATAAGAAGGCATACTGTTCCGCGCTATTTGAGTTGCGTTTATACTCGCTTCATACGGTAGGGTATCGACCGGTGATACAATGCGTCAGCTCGACACGAGCTAGATCATACAAGTATGATCTTTTAGCAACAGCATCACGCTATAGCGTCAGCAGGATAAAATTCATCGAGATGAGACAGTACAAACATGTTGCTGCAAGCTTGACCATCACGAGCAATTTCGCAAAGCATGATCTTACCATGAGCTGCACTTTTATTTCTTGCATGCATTTGACCTAAGAAGGTCTTCAGTTGTAAGTATCCTGCAGCTCCACATCTGATACACTCGTACAGCAGTTGCACTGCAAGTATACGGGGCCCTATATGTCACCGCAACGATCGACCATTTACCGATAGCGTTAATTTTAGCCGGAAAAGTTGTCGAACCCTGTTCTATAATTCGTTGATTTCACACCGAAAGGGCAGAGAAAAATAACTATAGCTCCTAAAATTTACGATTGATCGATCGCGCACCGAGATTTCTCTCATCTCGACTTTCACTTTCCTCAATCTATATCGATATCATACCGGTACTTCCCTCGGTCTCTCGTCCAACGCATCAGCAACCTTCACGCAACACCCGCTTCGCTTGATCACATTTACGCCTCCCACCAATGCGTCCAGCGTATCTCCCCATTCGTTTCTTGCCCCAGCGCGTCCCCAGATCCACCACCATCATTCCACTATGCCACACAGCTGCTACTTCCATGTCCACCGCTTCCACAGCATCCACCCAATCACGCTCGAAGAGCCGGAAGAAACAGTCGCGCGTGGCGAGTGTGCCTGTATTTTGGCCAATCACCGGCGTCTCGGAACCTCCCCTTTTACGTCCCCACGAAATCGACCGCGTAAACCGGCTGTTTCACATAGGAAGTACAGTCATCACAATGACGTCGGACCCGACCGACTTGCCACAGTGGGACGTGCCTGAGATCGCGTTCGCCGGGCGCTCGAACGCGGGAAAGTCGTCCCTAATCAATGCTTTGTGTGGTCAGAAAACACTCGCACGGACGTCGAAAGTGCCAGGTCGGACGCAGAAGTTGCATTTCTTGAGTGTTGGCGGTAAAAAGGGCAGTCTCCCGGACCTGTCGCTCGTCGACATGCCAGGGTTTGGGTTTGCGACAGTCCCAAAAGCCGTGGTGGACCAATGGCATGCGCTCGTTGGCGGGTATGTGGACAAGAGACGGGGCACCAACTTGAAGACCATTATGTTGTTAATTGATGCTCGACGCGGGTTGGGCACCGCCGATCACGACTTTATGGACTTTCTGCACGACTTGGGTGCGCTGTACCAGGTGGTGTTTACCAAAGTGGATGCAGTGGACCGATTGGAGCTCGAGAAGCAGATCCAGAAGGCAAAGGATGTGGCGCTGAATGCCAAACGGATGGTAGGGAAATGTGGACGAGCGTCGACACTTTTGGTGATGGTGGTGATGGTGAAGAGGGGACTGATGGTTGTGTTGTGTCATGTTATGTGTTGTATCATTATGTTCTGGTTTGTATTATCATGTTTTGTATTATTATGTTCTGTATTATTATTTTTTTGTTATGTGTTGTATTATTATGTTATGTGATGTTATATTGGTTTTGTATTGTCTTTTGATTATTATTATTCTTGTTTCGATCGTGTTTAACAGAGTATGAACCCAATCATTCAGGTGACGAGTGTGAAGGAAGGACATGGAATCAAGGAATTGCAGCGCCAACTTGTGAGTATGACGGGACTGTTAACGCCGAAATAACCTTTTGGCGAGAAAAAGTAGACGATGTGCCGTGCTCCTTCATGTAAATGAGCGTGTGGTTGGACACGTGCTTGCTAAATTAAACTTGTGGACGATTTGGAACGTGAAGTCTTTTGGCATATTGAAGGTGTTTGTGTCTTGTCGACGGAGGTTTTCCGACGTGATGACGGTCGTTCTGCTGCTACGTCTTTGTTGAGCTGAGCACAATTTCGGGACTGGTCTTGATTGAGTATATTTTGCTCGTTGGAACGTGTCGATCGTATGAAAAAGTTGTCACGCTGAACACTGATGTGACGCGGATCTTTCTTGCTGTTTTACTTACAGATGACAAAGGAAACGTAGATGTTGCATCATCTCGTGAGTCAAAGCATTCGTCGTGCGCTGGTATGATCAATATCAAAGATCGATTTCAAGAACTTGAGCTTACAGACATGCCGTGAGCGAGCAGAGTCAATTTGACGCACTGGTTCGTGCGACTCACTTGGATCCTGTATGTTGGTAGATGTGGTGCACTTCCAAGATGATTGGACTGGTAGCCCTCTCAGAGCGTCACTTTGCCCAGCACAGGCGTCGCCTAAATTTTGCAGGTACACCAGCACCTGTTCATCAGTGACTGTCGCATCGTCAAAAGATTCGTCTTTCTTAAACAGGTCAGGATTTACAATGGTGTCCGTTCTTCTATCAAACAAATGATGCGGGAACAAGTGAGAAGGTTTTTCTTTGCACGTTCGTGCTGAGCTCGTCCGACTGTGGACAAAATATTCAAGAGCAACAAAAACAGATTGGTGCGACATTTTCCAGCAAAATTTGTCGAGCTCTGTTGAGTTGCTGTCAATTTTAGAAGTGTAAAGCAATGGACCCTCGACCAAATGAAGATGTCGACATCGTCAAGACCAATTGGTTTGTTGCATGCCTCGTAAGGCTGTGAAGACGGTCTGGTCGACTTGTTTGCTTTCCGACGTACAAACGAGCTACCCACGCATCTCGGAGCTGCTCGATTGCATCTCTTCTTACCATTTTTTCGATTACATCAGGAAGTACTGCAGTAAACTCTTTATGGCCGTCGCAGGCCGCGACGAGTCGAATTGTTGCAATCGTGGATCTCTGATGACGATCACTTTTTCTCATGCAAAAAATTCTGCGTGGTCATTTGCATTTGTGATGAGCGCTTCCGCTACTATGGTTTCGTTTGGAGGAAAAGGTTGAACGTTATCATTTTTCGACTTGAGAAGCTGCAAGTTGTTCGGCTCAATACTTGCAGTGCCACTACCATTTACAAGTTGTTCGACAAGCTGCGTTTGCTGTGGCAACGCTTACCACCTACAGCTTCTTGGAGATGTTACAGAGGCGCCATCGATATCCCTTTCCATCCATTTATTCAACTTGCTCTCGAACGGATGACAAAATGTTGCATCGACTTGCACAGTCCTTACCAAACGACTGCATCTTTGTCAACTACGGCTATTGCTCCTCGATGTCAACGAAACACGTACCAAGTCCAAGTTACGGCGCCACCGGCGTAAATGCCTTGCGTGGAGGATTGAGTGGCGCAGTGATGTGCTTCTTCGACTTCGGCACCGACTCCTTCGCCTTCACCATTTGCTCCATCTTTTCTCGCACACGGGTGGCGTAATGCTCATCCACCTCGTTGAAGTTCTGCAGCGTCCGCTCCTGCACCGGTTTGGAAGCATTCACGAGCGAGGTGGCAATGTTGTCCGTCAATCGCTCCCGCGCTTCCTCGTCCAGCACCTTCTGGTAGAAAACCCGCACTTGCGAGAGGTTGTCGTCATAGGCGGACGAGTACTTGTCCACCACCGAATGCTCGCCGTCGTACGTGTGGTAGCGCAGCGACTCATCTTCGACCGGTCCACCCAGGCTGTTCGGGAAGTAGGTTGGTGCCCCGTTCATGTTGCCGTTCACCACGAAGAAGCCATCGCGCTGGTACGTCTGCGGGTCCTTCAGCGGTCGATTCACTGGAATCTGCTGATAGTTCTTACCCAGACGGTGACGCAACGTGTCCGGGTACGAGAACAGCCGACCTTGCAGCATTTTGTCCGGTGACGGCGCGATGCCAGGCACCATGTGTGAAGGTGCAAAGGCCAGTTGTTCCACGTCCGCAAAGTAGTTGCTCGGGTTCTTGTTGAGCACGAGACGTCCGACTTCTTTCAGTGGAAAATCACCATGTGGCCATACCTTCGTTACGTCAAACGCAATAAACTTATGTTCCTTCGCTTGTTCAGGAGTCATTGTCTGAATGTACAACGTCCACGACGGGAAATCACCACCCTCGATGGCTTCGAACAAGTCTCGATTTGCGTAGTCTGGGTCGGCACCAGCCAAGAAAGCGGCTTCGTCGACTGGCATGTTGCGAATCCCCTGATTCGTTTTGAAATGGTACTTGACGTAAGTCGTTTGTCCCTCCTTGTTGACATTGGCAAACGTGTTGCTGCCGTAGCCGTTCATGTATCGGTAGCCATTGGGGATCCCGCGGTCCGAGAAGAGCCACGTTTGCATGTGCAGTGACTCGGGTCGCAGTGAAAAGAAATCCCACACCATGTTGGCATCTTTCAAGTTTGATACGGGCAGACGCTTCTGCGAGTGGATGAAGCTCGGGAAGAGAATGGGGTCGCGAATGAAGAAGATGGGCGTGTTGTTGCACACGAGGTCCCAGTTCCCCTTCTCCGTGTAAAACTTCAGGGCGAATCCACGGGGGTCCCGAGTCGTGTCCGGGCTGCCATGTTCGCCCGTCACAAAGGAAAAACGAGCTGCGACAGGCGTGCGCTTGCCGACTTCCGAGAACATGTGGGCACACGTGTACTCCGTGATCTCGGGGTGGGTCACTTCAAAGTACCCGAAGGCTCCACCACCTTTGGCATGAACAACACGCTCAGGAATTCGCTCGCGATCGAAGTGTGACAGGTGGTCGATAAACTCAAAGTCTTGCAGGAGGAGCGGTCCCGTCGATCCTGCAGTGGCAGATGCGGTCAGACCGTACCGAGGCATTGGAGCCCCATTGCTCGTTGTACAAATTGGTGGGGTCATGACTGTTGTGCTGTGTTGCAGATTTAAAACTGAGGAGATCGGTGGCAGTGGAAGCGGAGTATGGGAAGCATCTTGTTTGAAAGCTGTCAGTCCAAACCGAAGAAAGTGTCGTGAGGGACGAGGTCGTTCTCTGACTATTCCTCATCAATTTCTTCTGCACTGTTACTATTGTTGCCAACGGGATGAAGCGCCCAGAAGAACCGTTAGTTTCTCAAGTTGAAGTGAAAAAACATAGCACGTCGTGAAGAGAGACTAGCGTGTGAACTATAGACTAGCATGTGATCTATAGACTAGCGTGCATGATATGATGCAGATGCTTCGAGTCTCTCGTCAGATCTTGTGTAATATGTTTGCATGCTAATGACGCTGTACGTAATGTTAATGCCCAATAACCACAAATCAATAGGATTAATGCGAATCCAGGAAAGGATTGGATTTTGCTGGGTTAATCTCAGCGAGTCAGAAGTAGTATCCAGAGTGAACTTTTAAAGTCATCAACGAACTTTTCCTAAAATTAAACTTCTTCATCGCTTTATAGGAATAGTGCCAAACACTGTTGTCGTCGATAGTATGCAAAGGAATCTGTTTATCACAATCGAAGGGCGGATCAGTACTGTGTTCCTTGCCACACGGAGATAATACAGCCTTCAACGTGAGAGCCGAAAGGGACCCGCCTTCGATGCGCTTAAGGAGCTGCTTGTAAAGAACTACAGAACTCTTAACTTGATGGAGCAGCCCATAACTTTCTTGGGATATGTCATCTAGCGAGCAGGCATCACATAGGGCTATTGATCTTCCTGATCCTGGTGACTTCGATGCGATGAGTGCCCCATTCCAATTACACTTTGTTCACTGCTTATCACTTCATCCTCTTAAGCTCTTCTGGAAGGAATCTCGTCTTGACATCGCACTCTCATTCTCTTCCATGTAATTAAGACGCTCCAAATTCTACATAAAATTACCGGACATGCAGTCAAATGAGCTTAACCATCAGCTCAAATCTCAGCTCCTCTGTTTTCTTCGAACCATTTTTGTTCCTCTCCGTCTCCATAGCAGTCGGAGAGCAGGAGGCTAAGCAGACATCCGTGTGGCTTAAGACATCGAAATGGTGATCGAGATCTATGTTTAGAGAGCAACTAACCACCAAGGCATGACAGTAGCCTTGGTCAAACTTACAGATGTTGCGTACGCCTCCACGCGCGTCGCATATTGATCGCACTTTTGAGAACGATAGCGGTAGTCGCGCCGCTTGAATGCAATTTTAACTGCCCTGATGGTTCCGGATTCATTGCATGGATCGCATCTGCCGTAATTGAGAAAGAGACTTGACATGGCAAGCTCGTGGGGTCCGTGATATGCGACGGAGCATTTTCGACGTAGAGAAGAATTTGCTGCTCTTGTTCTGGAGAAAGGTAGGAAAATTGGATGCATCAAAAGCACTTGCTACAAACCTACCCTGGTGTACACAGGTAACGTAAGTTGCCATCAATCTCTTTCGACTAGAAACCTTGGTTTCTTGTTAAGTCTCAGGTGGTTTGGCTCCAGAGTGGCGAGGTTCCTGTGCTACGGTCCACGTTTTGACCGAATTGATCATGCCATTGTGAACAACATTCGACTGTCGTAAATGATCTTCACGAATTAGATTCACACACGCCCAGCAATAAAAGACTCGTGCTCATTCGATTGGGTTAGTCCTTGCTGAACCTGTTCACCGTGACGCTATGATAGATTCGATGGATCACTATCTTACGTAGCACCGCCGGGTCCAGACATGTACATACCTAAAGTTGGCAGGTCCTGACATCTTTACATCAGTGTTACTTACATAGTCATAGTTTGACATTTAAACTTGCAGGTCTCGCAAATTTCGAGTTCATCTGCAAGTAAAGACACGACGAATGTTTAACAAAAAGGCGCTTGTACAGCTAACGATGGCTCGAATGCCTACAATCGTCTTATGGTCAAGTCCTTCAAACACAACACAGTATTTAAAACTGTTTCTTCGTAATTTGCCACACTCAAATGGGTGCATACAGCACAGTTTTGCGATTGCTTTGAATCGCTTGCTATGTTTCTTTACGATTTGTTCCTTCTGTCTGAAGTGATGACGGACACTTGCTCCCAACTTCATCCAAGGACAAATGGGTAGCACAATAACGGATGCAGCGGCTTGCAAGCAAAATTCGATCCTTGTTCGGATTCGCATTGATCCTATTGATTTGTAGTTATCAGGCATCAACATTACGTACAGCGTCATTAGCATGCATACATATCACACAAGATCTGACGAGAGACTCGAAGCATCTGCATCATATCATGCACGCTAGTCTATAGATCACATGCTAGTCTATAGTTCACACGCTAGTCTCTCTTCACGACGTGCTATGTTTTTTCACTTCAACTTGAGAAACTAACGGTTCTTCTGGGCGCTTCATCCCGTTGGCAACAATAGTAACAGTGCAGAAGAAATTGATGAGGAATAGTCAGAGAACGACCTCGTCCCTCACGACACTTTCTTCGGTTTGGACTGACAGCTTTCAAACAAGATGCTTCCCATACTCCGCTTCCACTGCCACCGATCTCCTCAGTTTTAAATCTGCAACACAGCACAACAGTCATGACCCCACCAATTTGTACAACGAGCAATGGGGCTCCAATGCCTCGGTACGGTCTGACCGCATCTGCCACTGCAGGATCGACGGGACCGCTCCTCCTGCAAGACTTTGAGTTTATCGACCACCTGTCACACTTCGATCGCGAGCGAATTCCCGAACGTGTTGTTCACGCCAAAGGTGGTGGAGCCTTCGGGTACTTTGAAGTGACCCACCCCGAGATCACGGAGTACACGTGTGCCCACATGTTCTCGGAAGTCGGGAAGCGCACGCCTGTCGCAGCGCGTTTTTCCATTGTGACGGGCGAAAATGGCAGCCCGGACACGACTCGGGACCCCCGTGGATTCGCCCTGAAGTTTTACACGGAGAAGGGGAACTGGGACCTCGTGTGCAACAACACGCCCATTTTCTTCATTCGCGACCCCATTCTCTTCCCGAGCTTCATCCACTCGCAGAAGCGTCTGCCCGTATCAAACTTGAAAGATGCCAACATGGTGTGGGATTTCTTTTCACTGCGACCCGAGTCACTGCACATGCAAACGTGGCTCTTCTCGGACCGCGGGATCCCCAACGGCTATCGATACATGAACGGCTACGGCAGCAACACGTTTGCCAATGTCAACAAGGAGGGACAAACGACTTACGTCAAGTACCATTTCAAAACGAATCAGGGGATTCGCAACATGCCAGTCGACGAAGCCGCTTTCTTGGCTGGGGCCGACCCGGACTACGCCAATCGCGACCTGTTCGAAGCCATCGAAGGTGGTGAGTTTCCAACGTGGACGTTGTACATCCAAACGATGACCCCTGAACAAGCCAAGGAGCACAAGTTTATTGCTTTTGACGTGACGAAAGTGTGGCCGCATGGTGATTTTCCTCTGAAAGAGGTCGGACGTCTCGTGCTCAACAAGAACCCGAGCAACTACTTTGCGGACGTGGAACAACTGGCCTTTGCACCTTCACACATGGTGCCTGGCATCGCGCCGTCACCGGACAAAATGCTGCAAGGTCGGCTGTTCTCGTACCCGGACACGTTGCGTCACCGTCTGGGTAAGAACTATCAGCAGATTCCAGTGAATCGACCGCTGAAGGACCCGCAGACGTACCAGCGCGATGGCTTCTTCGTGGTGAACGGCAACATGAACGGGGCACCAACCTACTTCCCGAACAGCCTGGGTGGACCGGTCGAAGATGAGTCGCTGCGCTACCACACGTACGACGGCGAGCATTCGGTGGTGGACAAGTACTCGTCCGCCTATGACGACAACCTCTCGCAAGTGCGGGTTTTCTACCAGAAGGTGCTGGACGAGGAAGCGCGGGAGCGATTGACGGACAACATTGCCACCTCGCTCGTGAATGCTTCCAAACCGGTGCAGGAGCGGACGCTGCAGAACTTCAACGAGGTGGATGAGCATTACGCCACCCGTGTGCGAGAAAAGATGGAGCAAATGGTGAAGGCGAAGGAGTCGGTGCCGAAGTCGAAGAAGCACATCACTGCGCCACTCAATCCTCCACGCAAGGCATTTACGCCGGTGGCGCCGTAACTTGGACTTGGTACGTGTTTCGTTGACATCGAGGAGCAATAGCCGTAGTTGACAAAGATGCAGTCGTTGGGTAAGGACTGTGCAAGTCGATGCAACATTTTGTCATCCGTTCGAGAGCAAGTTGAATAAAATGGATGGAAAGGGATATCGATGGCGCCTCTGTAACATCTCCAAGAAGCTGTAGGTGGTAAGCGTTACCACGGCAAACGCAGCTTGTCGAACAACTTGTAAATGGTAGTGGCACTGCAAGTATTGAGCCGGACAAGTTGCAGCTTCTCAAGTCGAAAAATGATAACGCTAAACTTCTTTCTCAATACGAAACCATAGTAGCGGAAGCGCTCATCACAAATGCAAATGGCCACGCAGGATCTTTGCATGAGAAAAAGTGATCGTCATCGGAGATCCACGGTTGCAACAATTCAACTCATCGCGGCTCGCGGCGGCTATATAAAGTTTGCTGAAGTACTTCTGGATGACGTCGACATTGTGGAGAGAGATGCAATCGAGCAGCTACAAGATCCTTAGGTAGCTTGATAGTTCGTCGTAAAGCAGTTATATCAATCGACATTCGTCACAGCTTTACCGAGGCATGCAGCAAACCAATCGGTCTTGACGATGTCGACGTTGCCACCCAGAGCGAGGCTCAACATTTTCTTTTGCCTGCATTGACGTAATGTCACATACTACTATTGAGCTCGTCTATGTCAGAGTCGGAAGAGCTGAGTACGAATGTGCAACTCGAGACCTTGTCAATTTGTCCCGCTGCATTCGTTCTGGGCGAAGAGCGAACACTCTTGTAAGATGTTAGTAACAGCGTTGGAAAAGACGTTCAAGGATCACCCAAATTCAGGCATGTGCATGTCTTAGCCAGTTATGTTACGTGAGACAGCAGACGTGGGTGTTGCGAAAGGTCTCGTGACAGCTTGCAGTAGTTGTCTTGTACATATACTTGTTCAGACCTGGACATAATAAAGAGTCTGGTGCAGCTCGCTTGATTTTAGGCTAATAGCAAAGTGTGTTCTTGAGGTCAGACCAGTTTATCGCTGGTGGGAGAACGTTCCACCCTAACGATAGTGACTAGTGGCCGCTTCGAACCAAGTCAAATAAATTTTTACTTGGGTGCATACGTTTTTGGTTAGCAAGTCACAAAACATTTTGTCCCACCGGCTGCAGAACTGTATGAGCAGTGTCGCATGAAGAGCTGACATGACTTATAGTTAGTCCTTAACAAGTCGGAAGGTCGCACGGTTGTGTTTACTTGTGCGGCTACACTTCCAATACTGGTACGGTCGACCCACCCTGTAGCGGAACTACACAGCTCCTAAAGTCAGAGGAAGACTTAACGCTCTACGAGCAACTTAGTTCTAAAGAACTGACGACTTTACGAGTCAACAAGCTCTACAGCTTCAGATCCCTGTTCCAGGGGACCTACCGATTCAGGGAATCGACAGCACTCAGTGCTCAAGAGTAGCTACCTCAAGGAGGTGTTGCTAACTCTTAGTGATCAGTGATCAACGATCAAGACCGCGGCAAGCCACGTGTCCTTTAGATCAAAATGGGAACTATTTTTATTTTTGTTAAAGCCTATAGAATATCTTAATCCTACTCAAAGATCTTTCGTACCTAATGGCTGACACTCGTCAGCCCCTACAAACCAATAAGATATTTTATATCACCTTCACAAAGGGGTAATCTCAGGTGTGTAACACCTCTAGTACAAAGTACCATAATTATGTGCAACCCCGTTACACACCCGGTCTTCGGCTTCTTATACCCGTGATCTAGTGCTTCTTTTTTTGGGTCTTCCCACCTGACGGTTATATTTGCTGGTGGAACGCCTTGGTTGTTGACAATACTGTGATCCTCTGAAATTTGCACGGCACCGACGGTCGTTTTGTAAGTCTTAACTTAGTAGCACTGTTCTGTTAGCACTGATAGATCACAGAATTTCTTCCTTGCGTTGAGCGCCGCACTAAGATGAAGACCTGCAAATTTTAACCTCAGCCAAGTTTCACGCGAGAGTGTCATTGAGTTCGTATCAACTTGTCGCTACTTCACCGGCTGAGTGACACAACAGAAAAAAAGGAAACGTATTCGTCACTGGCTACTGAGGTGTACACTTCAGCTTGCTTTAGCTGGTCTGGAATTCGGCCTCAGCTCGAGGATTGACCGCCTCTCCCAATTTAATTACAGTTGTACATGCTGATTGCGAGCATCCACATTGCCCGTTGGTATAGTTAAGTAGCTCATAAAGTACTCGAAGGTCACTATCATTGGGGGTGTCAACTTCAAGCTCGTTTGTAACTGTGCTATTCACTGAAAAACATCTATATTTTAAAATCATCCTGTCACGTTTTGGTGAAAGTATTGAGTCCTGTCACCTTTTTTGAGATTATCCCTAGATTTTATTATTGGCGAAAATGCAAGATGGTGAGAGTGTGACGAAGGTCGGCCGACCACTCTCGGCAGGTGGGTGCAGCAACGATCAGTAAATTAAATGGTTGGATGGTAGAGAGCGTAAGAAACATTGTTTGTTGGGCGTTATAACAATATCACTTCTACTTTCACAGCATCCTCTCGACTTGTAAAATCTAACAGCTTATGAGGCTAATTGGCGATGAAGTTGCTGCGACTGAAGGTCGTCAGCAGCGGAGGGCAGATTCCGGTCGCGAAAGGGCCGGCACCTTGGAGAATGTAAAGTGGTCAAGGAAGAACCAAGGGACACGCAGAGCAAGCTGCTGGACCTTCTCACGGGTCTCACGGAGCGCATGGAGGCGTCACAAGGACGACAGGAGGAGAAGGAGCGTTTCAAGGGCCACATGGCTAGTGTTTTTGGTTCGGTGTTGGAGCAGGGCAAGGATATGATTAGAGAGGCGTTGAAAGTGTCTCTACCGAGGCGTGTGTCACCCGGCGTATCGCCATCAACGTACTTTGGCGCAAGACAGCCTGGGATATGCTGGTGCAGCGGCCAATGTTGAGATGGCGCAGGCGCCGCAACCAGTACTGCCTCAGCATTACGTGCCACCACACATGTACCAGCCGGCGCCCCCACCACACACGGCACCAGGATTACAATACGACCGTGTGCCGGATACGCGACAGAGGAAGCTGGGCATCCGACCTTTGGATGGCAAGGATTTGTATCAAGGTCTTGGAAGTGGGATTTTATCGTGGGGCAAGAGATTTGTAAGGCAGATCATGTTCGCGGAGCGAGCAAGTGGTTTCCAGTGGAGTGAAGACGTCAAAGAAGACGTGCTAGGGCACCACTTGACCGGTATGGCCGAGCGATATTACTCCCAACAGGTAGAGGGGTGGTTTGAAGAACAGCCGACGCCAGAGCATGCGATGCAGCGTCTACTTCATACGTTTGCGACCAAGATAACTCCCGCACAACGTATGAAGATCTTTACAGCTACCAAGAGCTCCAAGCGAAGCTGGACGGAGCATTACCTGTATTTGGTGGCGGTGAGTGAAGCGTGTGGAGGTGCCGACAACCTAGTTCAAGACAACATTGTGCATTACGCTGACCCGAATGTGAGGGTGTCGATATTAGCGAGGTTTAGCCGCACGCGCATAGACTATTTGCAACAGGCGGAAGAGCTTGCGCACTTCGCGCAGTCAACTGAGGTCGAACTGCGCGGGAAGAATATCAGGAAGGACGAGGTTGACACCGTCGACAATGGGCGCCGAGCCTATCCCAAGACCCGAACATACAATCGCAAGGACCGTCGAGATATGCGCACGTGCTACAATTGTGGAAAGCCAGGACATTTAAAGAGAGCGTGCCCCGAGGGCAGTGCTGAGGCAAGAGCGACGGACGATGTTGACTTCGTTTTGACCATAGGCGGATCAAGTGTCAAGGAAGATTACTGGATCCTCGATAGCGGATCGAGTCGACACCTAGTTAATGACGCTTCATTACTGGAAGACCCCGAGAAACACACCAGCGAGTTCGTTGCTGCGGATGGTGGACACCTGCGCATAACGATGCGTGGAAGTGTGATTATTGCGACGACAGTACTGGGTAAAAGAACCAAGGTGCGCTTAACGGATGTGTACTTCGCAGAAAACCTCGAGAGAAACATAATTTCGTATGGACTATTGGAGAGTAAAGGGTGTGGAATATCATACCGGGGTGAGTACCGCGTGTTAGCCGCATTGGACGAAGGGCCAGCTGTTTTTGACGTGGGAATACACAATGACGTGTTGGTCGTGCGTGCGCAAAAAGGCGAACTAGATACGACGGGACGTGACGTGCTGATGTCAGCACTTGCACAACACGAGGAGGACGTCGGACAAGATGTGCAGAAAGGATCGCTAATGCACTTTCATAAACGGCTTGCGCATCTTAATTACGACACTATAATCAGGATGACCAAGGATCCCGCATCAGGAATACAGCTAACGGATGAGCTGCGGGCAAACTGCTTGGCTTGCGCCCAAGGGAAACAGACCAAGAACCCGCAGTCTCGAAAGGACACTGGAAGAAACGCACCAATCGACGTGATTGGAGGAGTTATATGCTCCGACTTGAAGGGACCGATGGCTCCACGGGACAGGTTGGGCAACCGCTACTTGGTGAATTTTATCGATCATCGGACTAACTACTGTCGCGTTTTCTTAGCAAAGTCCAAGGATGTCGCAGCTCAGAGGTTCAAGCACTTCATGGCTTTTTTTGAGCGACAAATCAATTGTCGCATTCACGTTTTAAGGGCGGACGGTGGAGGAGAATACAAGACTTTGGAGCTATTCTGCAAGGACACTGGCATTGCGCGCCAGGTGAGCGAGCCACGTAATCAAGCAAGCAACGAAAAAGCGGAGCGAATGCACCGCACCATTATTAACATGGTGCGGAGCATGCTACTTGCTTGTGGATTACCGTTAAGCTTCTGGGGAGACGCCGCGGAATATGCAGTGTATATTCTTAACCGGAGCCCGAGCAAAGCGAATTTGGGAAGACAATTACCATTGCAGATGCTTACGAAGAGCATCCCAGACTTGAGCGACATAGTGGCTTTTGGCTCGCCATGCACGGTCCATAGAGATGCGAGTAACAAGTCGCTGGGAGAGCGTGGAAAACAAGGCATCATCATCGGCAAGATCGATGAAATGAAGGGCTACAGGGTTTATTTGCCAAGGGAGAAGACCGTCATCGTCACACAGCACGTTCGAAACGTGGAGATACTGACCAAGGAGCAGAATGCGCAGTTACGTCGCGTACATCCAACGGTGAAAGATGGAGAAAATGGCGAGCGTGGCGGTTATGCGTCAATGAATAACTCATTACCGGTTTCAAGAGAAAAAAGCAAGGGACGAGGACAAAGAAAACCCTGGACGCGCGATGCGCACATGACCAGGACGGCGGCGCAAAAGGTATGCAGAAACGATGAAGAAAGTACTCGGTCTGGTGAAGAGATTAATAGCGTGAGGGAGGCGGACCCGAAGAATTATGGGCAAGCCATGAGGATTGGGCAGAGGGAAAATTGTCTTACTGCCATGTCGGAAGAGCTGCAAGCGCTTGAAGACAACGGAGTTTGGTTGGTCGTAGTGCCACCAAATAATAGTCACGTGCTGCACACAAAATGGGTCTAAAAGACCAAAACGGATGCTGATGGAGCCATTGAGCGATATAAGGCGAGATTGGTTGCCTGCGGAAATGAGCAGGTGTATGGCGTTGACTATGGTCTTACGTTTGCTGCTCTTATGGAGTTGAGCACGGTGAAGGTGATTCTTGTGCTTGCGTTGCGTTGGGGAGTACCGGCGAGACACGGGGGTATTCCCAACGCGTACGTGAAGGCTGATAAAGAAGAGCACTTGGATATCTACTTGGCGATTCCGCAGGGGATGAAGATTTAAGATGGCACTCTACGACAATTTGGCGTACAAGACAAATCGCACTTAGCGCTAAAACTGAAAAAGTCTCTCTATGGGCTCAAGCAGGCGGGCCGTCTGTGGAGCCAATTGCTACACACCAGACTGGAGGAGGCTGGATTCAAGCAGTGTGAAACCGATACGTGCTTGTATTGTAAGCGCCAGGGAGACGATGTGACGATTGTCGGCGTTTACGTGGACGATTTATTAGTCACAGCGTCCAGTCCGAGGATGGTAGAGCTGTTTTTTTGAGGCGATGGCATGTTTATCGATCAAAGATTTGGGCGAGGTTCGCAAGTTTCTCGGCATGCGAGTTAGTTTGGAGGACGAAAAGACGTGCACAGTGGATCAACAAGCGACTATTAAAGAAATGCTTGAGACTCATGGTTTGAAGGAGGCGAGTGGTGTTCGTGCGCCTATCAGTGAAGAATCTAATGAAGTTGAAAAAGACCCTGTGTTACTGACAAATGTACCGAGACAAAGAGGTGAACCAACGATTCGCGATTTTCAGTCGCTTGTGGGGAGCTTACTTTGGAATGCAAGATGTTTACGTCCGGATATCAGCTTTGCAGTTCGCAAGGCCACGCGGCGCACTCACCAACCTACTATGAGTGACTGGAAGCTGACAAAGAGAGTCGCAAGATACTTAAAAGAGACCAAGAACCTCAAGCTCAAGATGATTGTTTCAAGAAATGAAGAAAAAAATATCAATTTGGCGAGTTGGAGCGACTCGGACTATGCAGCTGATAAGGTGGACCGTAAGTCTGTCACAGGCGGAGTTTTAACTATGGACGATGCTATTGTGTAGTGGGTGTGCAAAAAGCAGACCGGGGTGTCGCTATCGACAATGGAGGCGATGTTTGCGTCGGCCTCGCACGTTGGACGAGAATTGCTAGGACTGAGGGAGTTAATGCGTGAGATTGGATTTCAAGTGGAGGCCCCAATGTCAATTCTCATGGACAACCAGGCTGCTATCAGACAGCTGGAGACTGAAGGAAGAATGTCGAGTGTCAAGCACGTTGATGTGCGCATGAAGTTTTTATGCGATTATGCGAGGAAGGACATCGTGGAATAATGTTTGTGGAATCGAGCAATATGAAGGCGGACTTACTGACGAAAGTATTGCCGGCGCCAAGGATTGCAAAACTACGAAAGCTATTCAATTTGATGTAGACATCGAGTGTGGGTGAGTGTGCGACGACCGAGGAGGAGCATTGGCGAAAATTCAAGATGGTGAGAGTGTGACGAAGGTCGGCCGACCACTCTCGGCAGGTAGATGCAGCCACAATCGGTTTTTAAAATGGTTGGATAGTAGAGAGCGTAAGAAACATTGTTTGTAGGACGTTAAGACAAATATCACTTCTACTTTCACAGCACCCTCAATACCTATAAACTCTAACATTTATTTGATTCAATAAGCTATTGATGTGTCAAGTGAAATCAATGTTATCGTGTCGCTCCATTTGTTTCACTGTCTACCTTTTTGACAATCAAAGTGAAAATCAGTTTACGAAAGTCGCATGCTGTTGGCAATGGCATGACCGATTGATGGAAAAGCGGACGCGGAAGAGGAACTTGACCACTCCAATTGATCCAAGTCACCTGGAACTAACTACACAGAATATCGACCCCAAGGGTTTAAATCTACAGATTATAGGCACCACTTAACAACAGTACACTCTTCATATCTTCTACGTAATTACTCCTAAAAACGTGTACGAGTGTACAGAATTACGTAGCTGCGTAAGTCACGTAACTGTAGATTAGAATACCACCACTTGACAACCATTTGTCGTATCAAACACATGCCGCTGTCAAAGTGTGATTATCCCCATCCACTTTGTCGTTCGTTGCATAGGACATGACTTTGCTGAGTGCTTTTCAATCAACGGATTCTATTTTCCGTAGTGCCAATCCATCAAGTAAGCGGTGGCATGTACATGAGTGGCAACGTACAACAATATCAGGATATTGCATTGCTCTCTTCAGCCATTTGGCATTTGTTTGTAAGAGCCGTGTTCACGTATCAGGGTGACCTGAACTCACAACATCTGATCAAGATGAGCAATCGAAAGAACAAAAGGATTTTCACACGCTGTTAGCTTCACTTATCCTGGCGATACCATATTCTTGTAAATTAGTGAGTTGTTATCCCACACGTGACTACACCGCGAGCATCAGCTGTTCTAGCACATCTTACAGTTCAACGACTATTCTCATCAGTGACAAAAAGCGACACGGCTGAAATGGAAGATACAGCGTCAAGTCAAATTTTTGCCTAGCTTCTACGGACTCGTTACGAAACACCTATCGTCACTGTCGACTATCGATATCCTCTCACATCCAGATAAATTCCTTGTGCGCCTTAGAATATTCTGTTTGTATCGTCATTTATGGATGTGTATCACTGAGGCTCTTGTTTATGTAGTCATGCAAGCAATCTAATTGCTTTCTATCATTAAAAATCAATCATACATGGTGTTCAAAGGAGGACCTCTAGCTCAAGCGCACCTTGATGGAATTTATCTAAACGATTAGCGTTTACGCAGTCTTTGCTCGACACTTTTTGCGCGTAGAGCAATCAATACTCATCATCACGCTAGCAGTAACTTGAGTTAAACTCCCAATTTCAGAGTGTGATATCTCGTCTCGGTTGTGGTGTATCGGTGTGATACGATAGCGGTTCGTACCGTTCCTTCATCATTCAACTCGTTTCTATTGGAAAAAGCTGACACGACATTACCGCCTCACATCGGAGAGTGGGACCGACCTTGACACGTTAATCCGACGCACATGTAGCATGTTTACCCTGCAAAAACGTCGACCTAACCTAATGCAAGATCCGATTGTCGATGCTATCGACACATTACAATTAAGATCATTAATCTTGTAACAGCAGGTATCAACATCAATTCCATCGTTTCTTACAAATCGATTGCAATCTCTCTACCCGCACCAGTAGTATGTTTGTAGATCCTACCCAGCCCCTAGTTGTTGAGCGTTAGGTTGTTTGCTGTTGGCTTTTGTCAAGTACTTCCGTCCTTGGTCACCAAAGTCAGTCCCATATAGACTATGACGCCTTTTAGCCACATCTTATCCTTCGAAGTTGTCAACAGCGTATTCCAGTGATCTAAAAATTGTGATCATCTGAGGTTGCATCCAATCGGTGCACCAGCTACGATATGCTTCCAGGCTTGCCAGGATCGTTCTTTCGGTAGTTATATGCTCGAGATCAGTACAACCCTCCCACGTTTTCACGACGCTCAATCATTTGCGAAATTCGCTTCGTATAATCTTAGCCTAATAACAATCCATTGAAGCTAAAACGCATCGACTCTTTCATCCATGAAGGCTCTTAGCTCTCACAAAAGGTTGACCGAATGACGGTCTTCTCCAACCATCCTGGAATATGAATGCATGTATCCTCCATTTGCATTTGGCCCGACAGAAACCTATCGGTTGTTTGTCACTAATTCGTGTAACAAGCAACCTCGGGTATCTGTCTAACAACAGATTTTGTGCTGTCAGGTGCAACGCTCGTGCTCTCTCGATCGATGCATCCTGTGGTTTTGGATAGCCATGCCGCATGCATCCAGCGCAGTCACAAACCATTTCAAGAAAGGCTATCTATGGTCACTCCGTTATGACACGAAGATGTGATGATGGGATACATGCGATGCTATCGCGACTCGATAGTACGTGTACTTGACGAAGCTCGTAGCCGCAAGGACATTCAGCTGCCAAAGAGATCATCACGAATTGGCTTCATTATGATCAATAGTAAGTCGGCAGTCTGACGTTGCGCTACGAAATCGAGCCGAATCACTGCGGCTACCATTAGGTTGTCAATCTTACTATAATTAAAGAAGACGCGACTCATAAGTACGTCATAGCAAACATGACTTACATGTGAGCTGCGTCTAGGCGATGTGTAGTCCAGACTAGGCATACGAAGGTGCGGTGTATACAGTGGAAACTCTAGTGAGCGCGTATCATTTTTGCACCCCAGCATTCGACTGTAAAAGCAAGCGCATTTTAAAAAAAGCAAGCCCATTCCTTAACAATAGCGTGAACATGTGGCTACACGGCATGCAACGTCACTCTATCGTTGATTTTTTTTGTAAAAATCTTCACAGCGAACCTTGTGTATGATGCCGTCACTAGCTCTCAAAATGTATTTACACCATGTTGTCCGCCCCTACGACAGACAAACCAAAGCACTTTCATCCTTGGAGCTTTTTCTCTCATGACAGATCCAGCTGACTACCTTAGGGACATTTTTTATGAATCAGTGCAGCCCCATGCTCGGCATATTCGGCCTTGGACATCCACATTTCATGGAACGAGCCCAGTGACGCCAGAATCGATCCACCGAGGAAAGCACCGACGCGACGCTCTTGGGCATGGGCAGCCACTACCTTGACGCGCAAGCTGTTGGTAAACCCAGCAGACGAGACCGAATTGGTGCTCGATCCAATCAATGGCAACGACATGTTACTTAACGTCGTCACGACTTCCCGTTCGATTCGAGTCGCCATGTTTTCGAAACACGAGCTGCCTCCAGTCAACACAATGTTCTGAAACAATTCTTTTCGCAATTCCGTTGCGGTTGTCAGTCCGCCTGTCTCACAAATGAGCTCAGGGAGTCGCATCCCTGGTCCAGCAGTTATCAAGCTGCTTTTTGCATCAGTACCAGCTGTGCCGCTGTTTACGACTGCATTGGGTACGCGATCCCGCGAAAAATAGTGTTCGGCCACACTAAATCGCTCTGTACCCATGGAGACAACCGTCTTATCCGGTAATTCATAGTTGATCAACGGTAGCTGGGCGTTCTGTACTTCATCAAAGGGACCGTCTGCGACTCGACACAATCCACTTTCCTTGGCTTCGACCACATAAGACCACGTATGTCTCGTCCGCTTTGCCATCTCGTTGTCCATCGACGTCGCTGCCACGCGTTGCTCAAAACTTGTAGCCATTTGGGGCGCTAACTTTTGTTTCAAAAACGCATCTAAATCTCGTCCGCCAAATAAAGTCACTTGACTCTTGGGGTACGCAAAAGCGTACCCTTCATGCACTGACGTCACACTCGTATACGTTGCACCCATTTCCACTACTAACCCGCTCGTTCTGGCGTTGGCGTAACACGCGAGGACGGCACTTTTGGCACAGAAAAGAGCCGGTACCCCAAGCTCCTCCATCACGACTTCCACCATTTGTTCACGGGCTCGGACGTCCCTTTTCTTGTTACTACTACGACCTGGAACGGATTGCGTAATCTCCGTCTTGTTTAGACTCGGAAGGGCGTCTGGAGTATCCTGTGGGACCGTTTGGTCGGGCGGTCCCATATCCCCCACGACATCATCTGGCAACGCAAAGGGGCGTTCGACCAATAACAATGGGTGGTCACACAGCCTCGTCTGCAGCTTCGAACTGCTGGCGTCAAAGAGCCATTGCGCCAGTTGTTCCGGGTCGCTCTCAAGTTGGGCCGATTTGCGGGACAAGTGGCGTCCCACATCCCGATCGTCCCGTACGTCGTCGTAAGAGACGGGACACTCGAACACACGCGGAAAATCCTCCCCAGCGTAGCCAAATTTACATTTGGACGTGCCGAATTCAAACACGAGCGCGTCGAGATCGTTTGCCTCAGCTGCAGCACTAGAAAACGCCGCGCTGCTTGAGCCGTGGTGCTCGCCTTCGTTCGCTCCGCCGCCAGCGTACATGCGTGCGACAATATAGTGAAACGAAGAGTTGCTTTGATCAGCGCTCTTTTGTTTCGATTATTATTCTAAACGCGTTTCGGGGGAGTTGTAAACGAGAATGTAGTGTAAAAATGACAATAGTGCGTTCATTCGTCTAAAACTCAAAATTCGCACTCAATCTCACATTTCCATTCGTCTATCAATCGAAACAGCCCCCCTTTTACGACATAATGAGCTCGAGTGCTCATGCAAATAGTGTGGTTTCCGTCCGCCACACCATTTTCGGGGTCGGTGCTCCTCGCCACTCAAACGACATTCACTCTCATGACGCCGCCCCTGCTTAAACAGATCACGCCGGCTGAAGTCGCTAGCTTCGCCTACGACGCCGTGGACGCCGTGGCGCTCGAGGACGCGCGGCGCATCGTGCACGACGTGCGTGATAATGGCGTGAAAGCGCTCATGCGACACGCTGCTAGACTAGGCGACGTGCCGTCTGAAGACGCGCCGCTGCTGATCCGTCCCGCAGAGCTGCAAAAGGCCTTTGAGACGCTGCCAAAAGACCAGCAGCAAGTGCTCGAGCGCACGGTGCAACGCGTGACGCGGTTTGCGCAAGCCCAGCGCGCGTCGATTCGCAACTTTGAACAGCCAATCGATGGCGGCGTTGCCGGGCAAGACGTAGGTCGAGCTGTTTTGGATTTCGTACTTAACAGAATCGCGACAGTTCAGGAGCAAATGGGTTTAATGGGTTTTTTTATGGTGGTGTCACTAGGTGTCACCCATGCAGACTGCAGGGTGTTATGCGCCTGGTGGACGGTACCCGCTGCCTTCGTCTGTGATCATGACGGTCGTGACAGCTCGAGTGGCTGGCGTCAAGACCGTTGTCGTGTCGTCGCCTCGTCCAGCTCAAGTGACACTTGCTGCCTCGTACTTAGCCGGAGCAGACGTGTTTGTAGCTGCTGGCGGGGCCCAATCAATTGCCGCGATGGCGTTTGGCGTGGGTGAGATCCCCGTTTGTGACATTATTGTAGGCCCTGGGAACAAGTGGGTGACTGCAGCCAAGTCGCTTGTGTACGGCAAATGTGCAATTGACATGCTAGCTGGTCCGTCTGAGTGTCTCGTTCTAGCAGACGAGACAGCCGATGCAGCTGTGATTGCAGCTGATTTATTGGCTCAAGCCGAGCACGATACAGCTGCAGTGCCGATCCTGGTGACCACGAGTCAAGCGATCATTGATGCTGTGAATCACGAGCTTTCGGTGCAATTCGAAACACTGTCGACAGCTGAAACGGCCCGTGCGAGTGTCACAGCGAATGGCTTTGCCGTGCTGTGTCCAGATATCGACACGTGTGTGAACGTGTCCGACGTGCTGGCTCCGGAACATCTGGAGATTCTGACAGACGAGGCACGTCAAGTGGCAGAAAAAGTGACGAACTATGGTGGGCTGTTTATTGGTGGACGGGCAGCTGAAGTGTTTGGGGATTATGGCGCAGGTCCAAATCACGTGCTCCCGACGGGAGGTACTGCCAAGTACACGGGTGGCCTGTCGGTGCACACGTTTCTCCGTATCCGTACTTGGATGCGTATTGACGATGCTCAGGAGTCGCAGATATTGGTGCAAGACTCTGCACGATTGGCTCGCATGGAAGGTCTGGAGGGACACGCGCGCGCTGCTGAGAGGCGATTGCTGTAGATTTGGCAAAGCAAATGCGTGAGGGCGGATGCTTCTCGGGTGAGTCTCGTGACGGCTTTGCTCGTCTGTGACATGAATACAAACGCCAGTGCAGTGCTGTGTGTGCATGGCTTTCTCCCTGGTGCGATCACCTGTGCCGCGTCTTTTCGTAGCTCCTGAGATGGAGTAATCGACGGTGGCGACATCTTTTCGTCGATAGATGTGCGGTGTAATCGAGATATACCTGATGCCGCAGATACCCGGAAAACGACCTGAGTATAATGAGGAAGAACTACATTTGCCCGTGATAGAAATGTCAGCGTTCTTGATGAAGAGGTTGCTGTAACCTGAATCATCAGATCTTTGCTACCAACAGTCAGTTGATGCGTCTTTGTCGGACCAGTTTCGCAATCTGTGAATAGTAGTCAGTCTCGCCTTGAGCAACCAGTATTGTGTCATCAATGGCATGGGTCATGTCGCATCACTCATCTTTCGGTCAACATCTAAGTACTTGCCGAACCAAGTCAGAGGTTGATGAAAATGTCTGTCAAGTACATCACGGTGCATGTTGCACCTGCGCTGCCACATGTTCTCGCGACTTGGCTGCACAGGGGGCACCTGTTCATAGAGCCTTTCAATTACAGTCAGGGATTGTCGTTCCCTTCAGCTGAAACAATCGTGCGACTCTATTCAGTAGTTGCGAGCCCGAAGGATGAAGCTATTGGTGAGTGTGCGCAAGGTTGATTGCCGAACTTTTAAATCGTACTTATCTGTGTGTGTCTGTCTGCGTGTCTGTCAATAGCGCGGTTAGGTGTACCTTTCACGTACTAAATACGATCTAGCCTGTCCCCTCTCATTGGTCGATTAGCATGACTGATGTCACTCTTTGGCTGGGTCACTATTGTGACGCACGCATGGAATTGGCTAAAATCGACGAAAGATGAAAATGATCGTGCAAGCAAATGCTGGACGCTTGGAAGCAAAGGCCGATTGCGTTGTCTTGACATACTGTACTGCGTTAATTTGGACAGCCTGATACTCCTTCTATAGTGACTGCTGCTGTTGTACAGTGTTTCGCAACTTGATTCAGTTCTATGAGCTGGATTATTTATATCAAAGGGCGAGCTCCCGAGCTTGCTCCCCTATCTTATTGAACAAATCGATCGAGCCTGATGCAAATTGTTGGTTCCAACTCAGTACTGAAAGCTGAATAGATCGATGGAATCTACATCCTGATCACATGACACTCGTAAGATGTAGCGGACAGAACAACACTTTCCAACGTCGCTTTGGTCAGAGATACTGCAACAGGAATTAAACTATCTACAGCTTATAAACAATACCATCTTGCTAACGATACGTACGCTATTTTAGAATTGATCGACAAAAACATTGCGACCGGTCAACTGCTATCTCGATGATTGAATGATTGGTATCAACTTTTGTGCGATATCTCGTCAAACATCTCACTCTTTTCTTTCGTGACGGCTGATGATGATGATGATGCACTCAATGGGATCCCTATCATTCCCCGACTCTGACCCATTCATTGAGTCAATAACTAATTAATTATCGACGGTCTTGATGGTTGTCGCCTACCCTTTGCCAAACGCTCTTTCTATTCTCCCAGACATCGCTAACCTCCTTCCTCTTTATTTTAATATCGACTTCATTTTTGGCAATTAATTGTAGAAATCATTCGTCAAGAATTCCGCATTTTTCCAATGGTGAACAAACAGAAAAGCACGTGCCAATTGCGTCTGGAAGCCCGTTCGCGCGCCTGCTGCGCGCCCCCAGGTGCATCCTTCGACACACAGCAACGAGCAGACGAGTTGCAGTCGCGTATCGCCCGCGCCAATGAGATTCGCGCCCTGCATACGCGACAGCTGGCGGCGCGAGCGCGCGCGCAAGTGCAACACGCGCGAGAGGTCGCAAAGGAAATGCGCGCTAAGCGACATGAAGAGACACGACGGTTTCGTCAATTGTCTGTGTTGAAGTTAGACGAGGCAGCGCGTCGACGTGACGACCAGCTACTGCAACTTCAACTTCAATGCAAGCAGCGCGCTCATTGGATCACCGAGAAACTCGAACTCGTGCGTGCGGATCAGAGCGACAGGGCGGACCGCGCACGCCGTACACTCGCAGCGCAGCTTAGCGAGGCCGCTCGGCGCCGCCACGAACAGACGCAACGACGGGTCGGGCGCCTGCACAAGCGCTGGCAGAGCGTAACGAGTGTGAAAGACCGCGTGGCCCGTGCAAAGTTTATCCAGCGGTGGGTGCGTCGTCATGTCGCGAACTGCGACACGGCAATGGCGCTGCAAAACGTCCAGCCCGACGTGGAGACGGTCGTGGCGTGCTGGCGATTTATGGAACGTGCAACTTTTGACGCGTGCATGCGCAGGTTGCAGCAACGAGGGGTAGGGCAAGCTGCGCAGCGGCTGTTGACTGTGTTGCTGGCTACTGTGCCCGACTGTCGAAAACGTGTTGCTGCGGTTCAAAAACCAGCCGCGATCTGTGATGGTGGCCCGTTTCTGGCCGTGCCGCCTAAAGGACACGTGACGTTTCGCGTCTTGCTTATGGCCGGTCTCTTGGCTAGTCACTCGAGCGAGGTAATGGACCGAACGCTGTCGCAGCGACTGTATTATGCCGCTCGAACCATTGTCTTGAACATGAAGCAACTGGCGCTGTGTCTTGCTGCCTCTGAAGGGCGTCAACAGACGCAAGCACTGACACGGAGTGTGTCGGCACTGACTGCGCGGTTTGCGTTCTACACGGAGGCATTTGCGCGCTGGAAGGAACGCGATGCCGAGTGTTTAGCTGCTGAGCTGTTGACGTCGAGTCGGGAGTTAATGGCAGTGCACAGAAAGTACGAATTGAAGCAGGCGCTGGAAGCACAAGGTGCAGGGGACGGCGTCCATGAACTCGTGCGGCAGACACGGGGCCAGTTGCACCAGATGCAATCGGCCTTGGAAAAAGTGGTTGGAAGAACGGAAGCCAAGCGGAGACTGGACGAGCTAAAGCAGAGTTTGACACGTGATAGTGGTGGAGAACGTGCCGATCGTGACGGAGTTTTGGTGGATGCAGAGGCTTGGGAGCGGAGCGCTGGAGGGGCTGGAGATGCAGTGGTGGCTGCGAGTGGAGATTCGAGTACAAAGGGTGATGAGGATGACGGTGGTGATGACGGTGGTGCAGTGGGCGTTTGCTCGGCGCTTCTTGGTGATCGAAGGCTTGTGCATGAGTTGATTTTGAACCCGCAGGTTCAGATCCCACGAGACTGCGAGGTGGAGTTGGCTGCTGCTTTTCCGGTCTCGTCCGAGCACTCAGCAGCGACGGTGGCTGTGCGTGTGCGTGACGCAATGACAAGAGCCTTTTGGGACCGCGTGGTCGCAGCTGATGATGTCGAGGTGCTACTGGCGCGAACGGAAGAGCTGCGCTCGGCTTTTAGAAGTGCGTTGGAGAGTAGGAGCAGGACCGAGTTGGAGGGATTGCGGGCAGCGTTGGCGGGAGAGATAGACAGCGCTCTTGACCCGGAGCACCTTCGAGTGCTGATGCAGGACCCGATGAGGAATGTTATCGCTATTCAAGCGCGGTGTCATGCTGTGCTTGATGCTATTGAAAGAGCCGAAGCACCGGCTCGAGCTGCGAGTACGCGTGAGTTTCGAGCTGACTGGGCTCAGCGTGTTGCAGCTGGTGCGATGACTCCAATCGCCTTGTTGGTCGCGTTTCTTACTTTTACTATGGACAAGGTCGAGGAATTGCGCAGCGATATGCTAAATGCTCACCTTGGTCTACTGGGTGCATTCTTACAGCGGCATGGCGTGGATTATGAAAAGAAGGCGCTTGAATCGCAGCTGTCGGAAGCGGGAAGTTTAGATGCAAAGTTTTCATCGACCATCAAATGGCTGGCTTTGGAGTTGGAGACGTACCTGGGACGATCAGACGTTGATGAAGCAGAGCGTGCCCGTCTAGTACGTCACAATGGCGAAGCCTATAAGCGGTTCCTGCGCGCAAGTATCTGGGCGTTGGTGGAGAAGTATATCGAGGACACGTCTTCAAGTGCCTGGCCTGAAACGTTTGAACTGGACGTGGCGCGCATTCGTGCTTGTCGTGATGCACTTGACCGTATCGCAGTCATTTCGAGTTTTCTTACGATAGTAAAAGAACACGTCGCCCGTCGCCACCTGTCTACACCTGTGGGATTCCTCGAGCACGTAGGTCAACAACTCGGTACATTGCTGTGTTCAAGTGGAGTGTCGGGCGCACAGCTTGCTGCTCAAGCGACTGAGAATGTCCGTCAACTGGAGTCTCTAGGCAACGAAGAAACCAAGCGAGAGTTGCACGCACTGGAGAAGCGTCTGCTCGGTTGTTTTGCTGCCGATAATGCCGTGTTCCAGCTCTTTTTCTCGCGTGCATCCCGCGCTTTCGAGTTGTCGCTGCAAAAGGATCACGTAGCACACGCCGTGCACCCGTCACTAGCGCCTTTTGCCGCCGATATTAGCGAAGCCACGTCAGCGTTGCGCCGGCTGGTCGAGCACAATGAAAAAGTGTACGCGTCGCTGTATAACACCATCATCAAGCGTCTACTGTCTCCATCAGTGCAGCCAAGGTCGGAAGCCGCTAATTGACATGATGGAAGCACCTATGACGCACGCTGTTTTTGAAGGATGTCTTCAGGTATAAAAATGTTTGGCCGTGCTCTTGAAAGTACGTGTGTATCCTGTCTGGTTTTTAGTTGCTGCTCGTGCTTGCTACTTCCATCGAGGTCGCCGCAGTGGTTACCTGACCCAGCCCAGCACTTTAAGTAAAGAGACGCGGTTCCTGTACCCCTCCAGTGGCGCCCACATTGGCATCCGTGCTAATGTTGTACAGCAGTTGAGCCAACCAGCGACTTGTCGTGGCATCTTCTTTCAAAGCCTCGTCAAACGTGTGATTACGCAGAGCTTCTGGTAGACACTGTCGAAGAGCTTCTTTAGCCCTGCAACGTGAAACAAGAGGTCACATGACACGTCATATCCTCGTCATTAGCATTACTTCACGACCATGACCATTTTATTGCAATATCACACTTCGCACCGTGGATTATCCGAAAGTCTCAGGTAGCAGCGAATAATGTGCTTTAGCAGTCGTGGAGCTGGTGTCTCAACCAGAGTGGCCACCATTTTACTCAGTACTGTTCCGACGGCGTAGAAACGCTCGGGCGTGTGGCAAATGTACGTGAGCCCCATATCGTCCAGCAAGATCTTTTGCACAATAAAAGTCGCCACGGTCTTGGATAATTCACTCCCAGCTTCCATGATACGGAGACAGAGTGGGATGATCTCTGTCTGCAGTAAGAAATTAATCACGTCCGAGTCATCGATCTGATGATACCACCACAAACAACGAGAAACAGCGACAACCATTATACCACTTTCGAGATCAAAATGTTCACATGTGGATTTCCATCATTCAGTACCTTGACCAGTGCACCAATCACGCCGAGACTTGTAAGTCGCAAATACTCAAACGGTCGATTCTTGCTCACGGTGTTTAGAAATGGGTACAAATACAACGGAATGTGCGCTATGAAACCAATCAGATCAAATCGAAACAAGCACCAACATCAGCAACGACAAAACAAAAAACCCACAATCAGTCAAACAAAACGCTTTTTCGCCACAAAAAATCGAACCCCGTCGCGCGTCGCGTAATTGCTTTTTTTTCAGCCCCTCCCTTTTGCTTTCTTTTTCCTTCTTTTTCACACGTACCATTTAAAAAGTGCGTGCGCGTTTCCGCATGCGACGCGACACACTGTAAAAGAGCCAGTGCATTGCACACACGGTTCGAAGCGTGCGCTGTCAGCTGCGGCGGTGACAAAAGTGGGTAGATCGCCACGATCTCTTGCAAGAGGGCGGCCACGATACCAATCGAGTGCCACAGGATCGGCGCGAGCTCGGAGAACTCCTCGCGCTTCTTACTGAGCTCCAGTAGCGCGCTCTCGCGCTGCTCGGGCGACGACAGCTCCAGCACGAGCGCGTGCAGTTGCTCAGGGGGGTCCATGACGTGGGAAGCTTTTTTGCGGTCGTGGGAAAAAAGCTGAAAGCGTGAGTGGGGTACATTTGGTGAAGCTGGTTACACGAGGATGTGGGGGGTGGGTACAATCTGGATACTTACTGGAGAGCTTGCGTGGGTGGTTGTATATAAACGATGAGAGGTTCAATGAAGACGCGATGAAGTTCAGGGAAAAATACGTGCTATTGGCGTAAATTAGTGGAACTAATTACATGAAAAGACACGAATGGACAGACATTCAAATATAGAAAAACAGCATTAGAATGGGAAAGACGTATCCAATACGGACTATCAGCTACTCTTCAAATTGACACCCATGGTGCTGGTGCATGAATGTCAATACCGACGTCATGCTAGGCACCTTACCGGAATGTTGATCGTCTTGGTAACGTCATTGCGAAGACCAAGCAGTTCTCTGCAAGTTCTCTGCGCAGCAGCACATGGACACGTTCACTACAAAGACTGATGATTAACGTGCCGCTAAGCGCTCTGGAAGGCGCTTTGAGAAAGCATACAACCAGGCTATGATACTTACTGACTATTCTTGAGTTGACACTTCGAGTTTGTCCAGCTACGTGCTGAGAATACCACAAGTTTTCTCGATTGTTCAAGTAGATTGCATTGGTCCCGAGTCCCAACGCAATGCTTACTGAGAAGAGCATACGCTTGAATGGATCACCTTGCCGTCATCACTCGAAAAGCACATCTCCTACCGAGTCGACTTGGATGCACATTATGCAATGGACAACGCTTGTTGAGTGCGATGATGATTCCGTGCAAGCTGTACAGCCGAGTAGCGGCTATCACTATAAGAGCGAAACAACGCCCGATAATGATCGACTGAGTGATGCAGTTGATGCGAGACAAACGTGTCGCATGGCGCTAGACCTTGCATGAAGAAGCTGTTGGATGCTTCTCATTGCGATCGCATCGTACATTGCTAGTTGCATATCGCAAGCTGGTTGCCAAGGTAAGACGACGATCTTGACTGTATGACGAGCGTTAGACCAAGTCGTTCGGTTCGAGCCTTTCAACAAGGCGTGAGCACGACATGTAACACTTGTGGACTTTGGACGTAGGAAGAGGCAATCTCGAGCGAAAACAGCACTTCGGAAAGCTGTAAAGACATCCTCATTGAAGCTACGTACATGAGACGCGAGCTCAGCTCATTCGCAACCCGCTTTGGTCCTTCACGGGACTTTGCAATACCGTATCTTCACCGTATCCATTCTCAAAGAGAACTGCACTTCCTAGTACATATCGGCCGTAAAGGTGCGCCGAGGTGTTGAAGAATGACACCGCGGACGTTCTCTGCTTCGGTAGATACTGATTTCGATCAGATCTTGACACGAGCTACCAGGATGTCTCGTTCTACATACCGCACCCGCCGAGTCTTTACCCGAAGAGGTCATCTGTACCCGAGTGAGAGCAAGAGTTGCTTTATAGTCAGACCACTCTGTGGCTGGCTCTTACGCGACGTATATCCCATCGCTGCCGAGACTGAATATACATGACAATCCCGTTTCGCGACAAGTTCTGGTCGCAGCCCCTTCTAAAGCTTCAAGTAGCTAGCTACCCGTCTCCCGCACCGACTCTCGTGGCAAAAAGGTCCAGATGCATTCATCAACAGACTACGTTTTGGTTAGTCAATCTATTCCGTTTGACATGCTTACAATGTGATCTAGACAGTGATCTTTGATCGACCTCGATGAAATCTTGAGGTCAAGTGAGCTGCTTCAGGAGGAAGCTTTGTACATGGACTCGATCAGACTTGTAGCTGTCTCGGTTCGTACTGAAAACTATGCCGAATCGGGTCATCGAGTCGGGTACGACCCTAGCTGAGTGGATAAGCGCTATCGTACCAAACAACCTCGCCCAGAGGCTACGCTGGACGACCATTTATCGTTAAATGCCAACTGATCTTTAGCGACATGGATAGTTGGTCCTGCGGGAGCAACACCATGTTGCAGTAGTCTACCTAAACTGATAGCACTGGGATCGGCGTCTACCTTTTTGCGGTAGGCTATCAGTTGGAGCGGAATCTTTATTAGAGAGACTCCATGGTAGTAGGATAAGGTCCTTACTGGAGCCATTTCCTCAAAGAGGAATATTCGATGACTTGAGCTGCCCCCTCATTCCACGTCGTCTACGTTCTTCCTCTCCATATGTGAGTCGAGCTTTGGTTCAACCTGTTTGCCAAGGCAGATGTGGATGAACGGTGCTATCAGAGAGAGGTCTTTGTGTTGGTTCTTTAATGATCCAGTGATAGTTTTATCCATTCGAAGATCGTAAGCTAAGACTTGCATCTCTCAGGTAGGTTTCGAGAAGTGCCGGTACAGATGATTGTGTGTGCGTAGCCACCACGGTTTTGTCACACCTTGCTGTTGACTGCTCTGGTATGCACGTGTTTATAGCTTTACAGAATCGAAGTACAGACGCGGACTCAATGTACGCTAGGATTCTGGCTACATCACGACATGTCCTGTTCATTTCGTCATTCCTATACCCATTAGTATGAATGGCAATAGCCATTGCCTCACTGATGGACTTGCATAGCATCAGGAAGAAATTCGCGGTGGAAGATTTTCCGTCCCCGTTTCGTATACGCACACCTGTTGCAAATACTAGGTGTTCATTTTGGTGTCAGAGGCATAGGTTAGTACTGTGTGATGCATCATGCACGGTAACCGATTAATGCACTGCGATCGTCGGGTGTGAGTGTGCTAAGAATTTAGTCAGTCGCAAGTATGCTTACGGTCGCATATGACGTATATCATCAGGAGATCTTGAAGCGGCCCCGTCATTATTTACATATCGCAGGTCAGTGTGTGCCCAAGGATACATGCAACCTTCAGCACATCGACACTGTCTTCATTACGACATCCTTCAATTAATGTCTAGGATGTTCTTCCACGCAATGCTCCGAGTTACATTGGAGTAAACGTATTGACAGGCGCTCAACCCTCGCAGTCGGTAGTTTGACATGTCATGCTGACACAGCTGATGCATGTAAACGCGCGAAGTGTGCAGATGTTTGAGCTCTTGCGTAGTGGGCCTTTCGCCTTCTTGTCGGACGAATGTCAAGTCACACACATCATGGATAGAAGGTAAGAGATGATCAAACGCACGTTTCAAGCCATTTCGATTGCAGATGCAGATGTGCACGCCACATCGAGCGAGTTTTTGGAGTAAGAGAATGGCATTGCATCAATGGGTAGTCTTCAGCAGGTATGCATCCACATTTGCACGGGATGTGGTATCATAGTGTGTCAATGCTCGCATGGTATTGCCAGATTGGTGCACAGAATCATTCATCCATCGTGACGGTGTTAGCTCGTTGCGATAGCAAGGCTGTATCCAGGTCAAACTGGGCGAACTACTTCCTGTATGCGCTGCGGCCTTACGGTGGCACATGAATCCTTAGAATTGGTGCTTAGGCGATACAGATTCCGTGATTCTGTTTCCATGGATGGCAGCTTGTCATTGCAGATACGGGTATATACATGAAGAAGAGCAAGAAAACATAACGCTATTGCCTGCAACGCACAGCACGTACTTCATAGATTATGCAGCTCGTCGTTATGCTTCATGTAGCAAGAATCGACAGCAGCATACGAACACAACAATGCAACATCGGAGTGTACATCCACCACTTAAACATGAGTCCCATGCACATCACTCACGAATGGACAGGTGTTTTGGCTACGGAAGAAGAAGTAGACTGCTTACATCTCTACACCTTGTGTAACGTCACGACGAAGCCATTCCGGCGCAGCGACCTCAAATGCACTCGATGAAGATGTACCTACACTCGCGGAATGCCACCTCGTTCTTTGCTGCATATGCTACAAAGATGCTACCGTTACGGCGGACGTACAGATGTATGGGATCAAATTGGTAAAGCGAGTCTCAACTTAGGTCCGGTGCGGTTCTACCGGGAGACTAGGTCTTCAGCCAAAAGCAATGACGGGTTGAGCCATCATGTTGGTCATTGTAACGTTGTCAACTACCCACCTGTAAGTTATTTGATGCCGTAGTTTTATAATGTGGATCACAATGTCCTGGCGGTGGTTCGCAGCGCTCTTACAGAGACTTACAATCGCTTGGTTCCGCCGACGTTTCGCTTGCCTGGAAAAAGCATGAGCTTCATGAGATCAATGAAACAAAGCGAGTAAAAATGAGCTCGCTCGGATTGCTTCGACCTGAAGGATAGCAGCAGTATCTTGTGGGTGTATCCATGCAGTGGTGCTGCCGTGTGGTGACTAACGCAGTAGCAGGTCATCTCTCGCCACTTTGACACAGTAGACAAGTGATTGTCCAACTTGTCTCATTCTGCGAAGCGCTTCCTAGGAAAGGCGATACATTTCTTTCGATAAAACTGGCTCAATCTCGCGCCCGCGAACCTGATCCTGCTCGTGGTACATGCAAACATCGCTTGTTCTGACCCAAAAAATGGGTAAAAAAGGTTGCAACAATGCAAGCAGCCACATACCTTTTCCCGAAAAAACAGACCTTCTAACGTCTTAGTCAACGTGCCATGTGTCTGATTATCATTATCAACGTACCTGACCCTCTCACTTGCTACGTACCCACTCGAGTCTAGAAAGATCCCACGTCGTAATTGCCTCGGCGACTAGTCACCCCTTCGCTGCCATGAGACGGTCTTCATACCACACAATGACTTGATCCTCTTGTAGCATCATGCATTGTTCCCAATGATGTGCTGAATCAAATTCGACTAATCCGAGCATCGGCGAAGGACCACGTCCAGCTCATTCCATTTAGGAACATGACGATCATCCTAAAGACCGTTGGTCCTATTGCATCGATCGGCTGAAACGCCCAGACTCCGTCATTTTTGGGTCGATCAAAAGACGACGAAAAGAAGAGACGGCAACAATGTACCCAAATCGACAAGCTCCCAACGGCACTTCACCCATTAGCTCAACGCTAGTTCCACGCACGTTCGGGAGCTCCAGCCCTCTCGTCCTCCATCACCGTCCGGTCTCTGCCCCATCTGAGCAGTCCCATTTCTGCCCTCCTCCTCCTCCGCCCCGTCTGTTATCAACATGTCTCTATTCCAGCCTCCTTACCCCATAAAAATCAACTCGTCTACTGTATCACCACCATCTAGCCGTGCTAAAACTAGAATCCCGTCGCGTCTCACTCTCTCTCTCCCTTTTTCTGTCTCTTGCGCGCCCTTCGTGCAACAACGACACGACGGCTCATCTGGTCGTTTTTCTCTGCTTTTTACGTACCCGCCCATCTATTCCAACACCTTTTACCCGCCGATCGATCAGTCCCATACAATTTCCAAGTATCAGCTGCATCTTCGAGTCAAATCAGTCAGCCGCTGCCGCTGCCGCTGTCGTCGCATACAACGAACGTATCAGCTTTCTCCGAGCCATTTGCCAACCACCGACCCACGCACACATCCACTTACGTGCGACAGTGACGGCAGTCGATGCCGCAGTCGCCAGTGGATGGAGGCGCTTCGCCCACGTCTTCCTACGCGCTACTTCAGGGTCCATCCCACCCGTCGCAGCTCGCGGAAGAGCCCGACAGCATCTTAAGCCAAAGCGCGGTCGACATTTACGTCCAGGACAGTGACAGTGGCAATAGTAGTGACCATTCCCACACTACTGAGGAGGAAGAGGAGAAGGTGATTGGTGGTAATAAAGGTGGGAGACCACCTAGGGGTGGGGTCTCTGTTTCGAAGCAGCAGTCGTGTGATGGCGAGGGGGTGGCCTCGGACGACCTTCCGACCACCTCGACCGACCTGTACCGCTACGTGTCCCTCAACGCCCCGTCTGCTACCGCTCGATTTGGCTACTGTTCAAATCTGGTCATCACTAGTCGCTTTACTGTGTTGAATTTCGTGCCAAAGCTCTTGTTTTACGAATTTAGTAAACTCGCGAACGCCTATTTCCTCGTGATTTCCATCATGCAGACGATCCAGCCAATTTCCAATACCGGCGGCTTCCCCGCTTCGTTGCCAGCTCTGTCGATCATTGTCTTGATCGACATGTTGTTCGCCTGCATGGAGGACTACAAGCGGCACCAAGCCGACCGCGTGGCCAATAACCTCCCGTGCGACCGCTTTAATCTGGAAACCCGTGACTTTGAACGGACCAAGTGGGAGCTCTTGCAAGTGGGTGACGTGGTCAAAGTGGCGAACCGCGACCCAGTGCCTGCTGATCTGGTGATTCTAGGAGCTTGTGAACCCGATGTGGACCACCCGGCTGGCATTTGTTACGTCGAGACAAAGTCGCTGGATGGCGAGACCAATTTGAAGCTCCGACAGGGGCTGGAAGCGACGTATACGACGTTACTGAACGATGCTGCAATTGGGGACTTGAAGGGCACAATTGTGTGTGAAAAGCCGAACAATTCGATCCATCGATTCAGTGGCTCGCTCACCCTGGAAAATGGCACAAAAGAGGTAATTACGACCAACTCTGTGGTCCTGCGAGGCTCGACGTTGCGCAATACCGAGTACATTTACGGCCTCGTGGTGAACACAGGACCGGATACGAAGATCATGATGGCGTCGTCCTCCGAGCCGATGAAATGGAGCAACATGGAGCGTCGGCTGAACAAGCAGATTCTGTACATTTGTGTCTTGATGGTCGCTCTCTGTCTTGCAGGAGCGACGTTGTCGACGGTCTGGAATGCAAAAAACTTGGACGAAGATGCAGAGGAAGGCGCGTGGTATTTGTACGACCGCAACTCGACAGCGGTGAAATCTCCGGTGGGGACATTTTTTATCATGGTGCTGTACTACTTTTTGCTGCTGAATTCGTTCATCCCCGTGTCGTTGTACGTGAGCATGACGTCGGTCAAGTTTATGCAGTCGTACTTTATGAACAATGACTTGGAGATGTACCATGAAGAGACGGATACCCCGTGCCAAGTACGCACCATGTCGTTGAATGAAGAGCTGGGTCAGATTGACTATATCTTTTCGGACAAGACGGGTACATTGACGTGTAACGTCATGGAGTTTCGCAAGTGCTCGATCAATGGAGTGGCCTATGGACTGGGGGAGACTGAGGTGGGCATTGCAGCGAGGAAGCGGCAGCAAGAAGAGGTGCCACTCATGTCGTCGTTCTATGCTGTGACCCCCGGTGGTGGCTGTGCGGCACCTCCGAAAAAAGACCGCATTGATCCGATCACACCGGACGTCAATAACGTGGCATCGGACCGCGTGGTGAAGGCGCCGTTTGTCAACTACCAAGACGATTCATTGTTTGATGCGTTTGCGCAGAAGAGCAGTGAGCAAGCAAAGTCTATTGGCGCGTTCTTTGAGCACTTGGCTGTGTGCCACACGGTCATGCCGGAAAAAGCTCCTGACAATAGTTTGCGCTTGAGTGCTTCGTCGCCTGATGAGCAAGCGCTGGTTGCTGCCGCAGCTTGTTTTGGGTACAAATTTGTTGCACGTGCTCCAGGCAAAGCGATGGTGGAGTATTTTTGCTGCATTGAGAACCCGGACGAGATGGCATGCAACCAGCCGGTTCCTGATCATTCCGTGGGGGCATATGATATCCTGGAGGTTCTCGAGTTTAACAGTACGCGGAAACGCATGTCTGTGATTTTGAAAGGACCTACGGGAGATCTGAAGCTTCTTTGCAAGGGCGCTGACACTGTTATGTATGAGCGCCTGAGACCAACAGACGATCCTGCTGTAAAGCAGACACGTGCTCTGACGCTTCAGCACATGGAACAATTTGCGTCGGAGGGGTTGCGAACACTGGTGATCGGGTCTACTGAGGTTGACCCCACTTTTTTTGCATCGTGGGTCATCCGCTATCGCACCGCAATTAACGATATGTGTCAGATTGATCTGCGTCGTAACGGGGAGGACAATGACATTGACCGGCTCATGGAGGAGATCGAGGTGAACCTGGACATTCTAGGCGCCACTGCTATTGAAGATCGACTGCAGGCTGAAGTTCCTGATACTATCTTCAAGCTGCGGCAAGCATCGATCAAGATCTGGATGCTGACTGGTGACAAGGAGGAGACGGCGATTAACATTGGCTTTGCGTGTCGTCTTTTGGCTTCTGACATTGAACGGGTCGTTATTTCGGCAGATACACACACTGACTTGGCTAGTATCGTGGATGAGCTGGAAGAGTATGCTCGACAGGAGGACAATGAGGAGACATGTGCATCATCCCCAGTCGGGCCACTGGATGCTTTCGCGCCGTTTTCAGAGGCACAACGAGGCTCTGTTTCGCTCCGCAACCAGCACAAAAGGTTGACTCGCATTGAAAGTATGGCCGAGCGACCTCAGCAGGATTTGGCTCTGGTGATTGACGGAGAAACGCTAGAGCTGGCGCTCGAAGGGTGCCCTGAGCTGTTTTTGAAGGTGGCCGAGAAGTGCGTGGCAGTGATTGCTTGTCGTGTTTCTCCTGCCCAGAAGGCACAGCTCGTGCGGTTAGTGCGTGAAAATAATCCGGGAATGCGAACATTGGCCATTGGTGATGGTGCAAATGATGTGTCGATGATTCAAGCAGCACACGTTGGTGTTGGCATTTCCGGTCAGGAGGGGATGCAGGCTGCCAATTCATCGGACTATGCCATTGCGCAATTCCGATATCTGGCACGCCTGCTGCTTGTTCACGGACGCTGGAACTATGTGCGCATGGGCAAGTTGATCTTGTACATTTTCTACAAGAACGTGATCCTGAACTTGACCCAGTTCTGGTACATGATTTACACGGGCTACTCGGGGCAGAAGTTCTTTCTCGAGTGGGGACTGCAGGGATACAATCTGCTCTTTACGGCGTTGCCAATCATCCTGGTGAGTACGTTTGAACAAGATGTGCCAGCGTGCTTGGCGGTGAACTACCCGCTGCTCTATCGCATTGGCCAAGAAAACACGAGGTTCAATACCAAAGTCGTGTGGGGTTGGATATCCTCGTGCGTGTGGGAGTCGCTCATCATTTGCTTTGGCGTGGTGCACGGGATGCGCTACTTGGTGACCAGAGGTGACACGCCAACGATGTGGGTGTATGGAAGCACTTCGTTCACGATCGTTTTGATTGTGGTGACGCTCAAGTTGTGTTTGCACCAGCAAATGTGGTGGCCGATTCACATTGCCATCTACATCATGTCGTTCATGCTCTGGATCGGCACGGCAGCTTTTATCTCGTCCGGCGACTCGGTGAGCTCGTCTTACTGGAATGGTGTGTTTGCCAATACGTTCCGCGTAGACGCGTTTTGGCTGGTGGTCCCGCTGCTTGTCGTCGCTTCCTTGTCGCGCGACTTCATGTGGAAGGGGTATATACGAATGTTCAAGCCATCGTACAAGCACTTGGCACAGGAGGTGAACGCGTATGGTCTGACACATATCGCGGACCAGTTGCTGACGTTCCCGCCAGCAGAAAGGATTCCGGAAGATGCCATTGGTGGCGAAGCTGGCCGTATTGCAGCAGGCTCTCTATTAACTGCCAGCATGCGGGACGTGACGGTAACGAAGCCAATTGCTCCTACTGTCGTGTTGGCTCCGCGTCCATTAATCAGTCGGATTGGAAGCCGCCGGTCGGTGGCAAGAGGCAGCGCGTTCAGCTACGATGCTGAGAGTGTCATGGTCGAGTCGTTCATGTCAACGGACAGGTTTGCTCAGGACCCGAAAAAGACGAGCTCGATCTTTGAGCGGCACGCGAGTCGTGGCTCGTTGGCTTTCCAGCGTCTTCCAATGGATTTGGACGGAGGGGATCAACCTGCCGAGGAAAGTGCGGGCTTGTTGTCAGTCTCCGGTGCGTCTCCTTCACGTCGACAATCGGTCGGCAATATCTTTCGCGGTGCACGCCATGGCCAAGGTCGCGGCCGGGTCTTGTCGGTATCTGCGTTGTCACGTCCTTCGGATGCAGACACTGCGATCGGGATAGCTGCTGGTCAAGGTGGACGCAGCCAGCTTCCAGCTGACAGGTTGACTGGCGTGCGGGAAAACGCAACGATGAATGGCAGTGGAGGCACGAGCAGTTTCCACCGTCCATCAACCACTCGACGGATGCGAGAGTTTGAGAACCGCGCCATGTCCAGCGACGATGCGTCTGCTATGAGTCGCGGACATAGCACCACTTCGCTGTGCTCGCCTCGTAGTCGTCGCAAGGGACGCAGTGCAGTGTCACACATGTAAGGAAATGGATTTAGTTGCTTGAAGCTCAACGTCGTTGGAACACCGTGTCATTATTAGTCTTGAGCGCAGCTAGCAGGACTTGCCAGCAGCACGATCGTCTGTCTTCAAACTACACGCACGTGCACCGTCATCCAACCCACAACAACAGCAACCTCGTGCACGCCGTCACCACCATTAAGCACGACAACTACTACGCTCACCTCTTGCATTCGCCTTGTCCAACCGCCTCTTTAGCTGCGGCTGCTACGGCTGCTGCGGCTTCGACTCGAGCTCCGACGTCTTCGTCCACGACTCGAGCTGCGGCTTCGGCTGCTGAAGCTGCGGCCACGGCTCCTGCTGCGACTGGGCGTCCGACTGCGACTGCGTCCACGCGGTCGACTGCGACTCCTGCTAAAGCTTCGACTGCGGCTTCGACTGCGACTCAAACTTCGACGACGTCGGAACGGACTTGGTGAGCGTCGACGTCGTCCCCCTCCTCTCGCTACTGGCACGGGACTGCTGCGTCGACCACTGCGAAACGGCGACGCCCCCCGTCGACGCGAAAACGCCGGCGAGCGCGAGCGTTTTCCCCGTCGAGTAGCATTGGTCAAGCTCCGACTGCGGCCTCGAAATGGCGACGCCATGCGTCGACCGCGAGCTCCTCCTCGTAGTGGAGACCGGATGCGTCCACGTGCAACTAGCGATGGCGATCGATTGAACCGTCCGCCCCGTCGATTGCGACCGGGCGGCGACACAGACGAGCGCGTGACCGTGCGGGAGCCATTGGCACGAGGAGCTCCGTCGACTTTTGGTGCGTCTTGAGGCAGCAGCACGTGCAGCTTGTTCCCGTCCAGCCAGCCCTGGTGCAGATGGTCCTTGGCGCTCTCAGCGTCCTTTTGCGTGGCCAAAACCACGAGTGCACGGGCTTTTCCCCGTGGTTTGGCCATGTCGACGTCAACGACGAGGCCAAACTTGCCAAAGATCTCGCGCAAGTGATCGGCATTGACATTCCGCGTGAGGTTCTCGACTTGGACAGTCACGTGGTCTTGTGTTGTAGCCATGTGGGTGTTATTGCTACTGCGGGTAGGGGACGGTCGCTGATTGGTTGGCTGACGAGATGCTATAAATAAATAAACACATGGACAGAAAACAGACACCAAACCACATGGAAACAAGATACGGTCGTCGTGATTTCGTTAAGTAGCACGCTACATAAGCTGGTAAACTCGTCAACTATGGGAAGGAAGATGGAAGCTGCTGCGCTGGTTATGGGACGTACGGGACGCGGAGCGAGGCGACATCGAGCACGATCGGGATGGAGATTTGTCCTGCATTGTGTGGCTGGACGAGCGACGACGACGCGTGGACCGGGAGCGCGACCGTGAGAGACGCGGTGAAGCCATTTGGGGCCTCGAAGCTCGTGGCTCTCGAGGAGTGGAGAGGTCGGAGTGGTACATGCTGTGGTACATTCCGGTTTATTTTATTTAGTGTCGTCCACATGAGTTTGGGAGCTGTTTTGCCAACTGGGTGTTTCACAAAAGCCACTTTCCGACGTTAGGGTCTTTTTGTTCGAGACTGTATCCATTTGGTAATTTCGGTTTTTTTTTGGACTGGGTACTTTGTCAAGTTCCCGCTTACTTAACGACACGATATGGGTACCCCGTACTCGACGATGAGAGGCTTACTGTCGGATGTGGTCGGTGCATCTGACGTATGTGAGGTGGTTTCCGACCTCTCACGATGCTGGGCGTCGTCGTACTTACTGCCTCAAGAAGAAGTGCTCTATGTCCTCCAGTCGGTTCGGCAGGAATTCGCCTTTAGTAACCGCGCTCTTGTTAAAGTAAGCGCGGATACATCGACGACAACGCGTCGACTTGTAGAGCGGTTTGAATATAAGAGCAATCGCGTGGCCCACGTCAGGTTCGAATCGACAGGCATTCTCTACCGGGACTGTGTCCTTGAATTTTGTATGGGAAATACACAGTTGAAACTGGACATCGCACGGGACAAAGAGGGCGAAGTGAAGGGACTGTACAAGACATTGGTACTTTTGGGACAAAAGCAAGACGAGAATGACCGCGAGTGGGAATTGGTTCAACAAGCTGTTACTTCAACGCGAGAGACCGTCCGTCTCTCGGGCGACGGGACAATCGGACGAGACACTGAAGTGGATGAAAGTTCACTACGAACGGACGCATCCGCAGTGTTACAAGGCACTCATTACGAGCGTGTTCGAGGCTGGGCGTGCAGAGAGGAACGAAGCAGGATATATCAAGACATTATTGGCACCTCAAGAGGGTAGTTAGACGGTAGTGAGAAGGGGCCACTATTGTTTGTGGTATTGTAAGTTTTGGAGTCACGAGATAATTGTAAGCAAAACACATGGCCTTCTATTCTGGTTTTTACGGTAAAGTCTTTGTAATAATCGGTTGCTACTGACAAAACCATCGTTTGTTCTACATCTTGCGTTTAGTATGGCGTCGCGACGGGTACGGATTCGTACCCTCTGTCGAAAGCTTGTACAGTTGCGACGGACTCCTTCACTGGCCATCTTGTAGACACTTGCTTTAGCGATAGATAGAGTGCAATTTTGTGCGCTAAACGATCGTGGCGGCATGTTCAGGTCGTATTTGGCTTCGGTCAAGGTAGTGTCAGGTCCATTACGCGATGTATTCATGTTAACGTACAGTTCGTACGTACAATCTGGCTACTCAGCCTTACTATGATATTTTGATAATCTGCTGTGCAACTGCAGTTACGATTATGTGTAAATTGTCTGTCAACTCGTTACACGAATCGGGAGACATCGAGTCTTACCGACTGAATGATCGATAAGCGCGTCGGAGATTGTAAGACTGCCATTTAGACGAACAGGATGACCGTTAGGTCCACGGGTGTTGGTGGAGCGCACACCATGGCTAACTGGTACAACCGTTTGTCGATTTCGAATCTGAACGGTAGTGGTGAACACAGTATCTAGATGTAAGAACTCTTGCGTGTAACGGAGTGAGCCTGTTACATGCAATTATTGACCCTTGTTACTTGTTGATTCGAATACGGTCATAAAGGTTGGTAATGTTCGATCATATTGCCATAATGGGTATTGTTCAGAAACACTCACCGATTGGTTGATATGGGTCATCAAACTCGCCAGCTCTAGCGGTCCAAACAACGATGGACGCGCGCAATGAGCGGTGAGCACGACTTTGGCATACATTTTTGTCGATAAATGTAATTGAGTTAAGACTGAAACATAGGTTTATGAGTAGGACTTCGTTATACTTTTCACGATTTCACTTTTACCAGCAACGAGTCAGTTCCTAGTTGCTTTTGCTTCCTCTTTCGAGTTAACAGAGATATAGAGGCATCGCTCACGCTGCTTTTGCTGGTGTAGCACTACACTGGTAGTCCAGCGTGTCGCTCCGGTGCGCCGTTACATTGTGACTGTTGACAAATAATGCTGTGCTACTAGTTATGATGAGTCATACGGACGCAAATTTACGAGCAATGGCGCATGGTCAGAGTACATGCTCTCACGCTTGTCCACTCATTAAAGGTAGTAGTAACCAGCTCGCGTTCGATGCAAGAAAGCAAAGCAGTGGAAATGAGGCTACACTGCAGCACGAAACAGTATTGAAATGGCTTTGGAATTTTACAAGTCACAAAGCAGTGAACCTTCTTTTGCCGGAGAGGTCAATCTGTGTAGACGTGTGACGTGCTGTTGCAGTTATTTTACATGTTCGACACGACATTCTTCATAGCGTTGGCCACTCGAGACGTAGTATGAGAATGACTTACATCCGTTTGTCGACAACTTCCGGAGTATTTGGACAGCGGTTGCCAGCACATGACTTGCTAGCCGTTACACAAGTGCATGTATAAAAGAGTCTAGGCGCTATTCTACATGTATGGTTTATCGATACAAGATCACGCACGATGTGGGATTGATGAGTGACCTTTTAGCCGCGTATTGTCTAGTCCCACGTGATCAGATGCGACTTTGCCAACGTTAGAAGCAGCCACATATTCTATCTGATCAAGACGATACGATGCTGATTGTATCAAAGGCCCAACGTGTGATCGTATAGAATCGAGTTGATAATGACATAAAAGTAGAGACACGGTCGAGTGTGAAGCCCGTATCCGCCTTCATACGTCCGTTACCGAATCCCATCCATTCACTCGCGCGTTTCATAATGTGTCAATAACAATGATGGATGCCACGAATCCTTGGGGGACTTGTGGTGAAGGTGAGGTACATTGAGAAACTTTATAGCCCAACAATACCCTTGACGGAAAGATTTAACTATCTGGTGTTGCTAGCTATGACAAGGAGGGGGCGCTACCGCAAGATGAGCAAATCTCGTGGCCAGCATTTGTTGGTGCTGTAAATGGCCGCTCGTGGGCATTCTGCATGTTGCGATTATTCGATCTACCGTCGAGTCCGACTGATGTCTCGATCCAGTGGTTGACGTTGTGCCGGATATGATTTGTGATGCCCGAAACGATATTCCTGTCGGTTAACGCGTGAACCTGGAGATTTGCCTTGGTATTCATCGCAATGTTCGCTGCAAGGCCTGTCATTATATTATAGTCCCGAATATGATGAGATCAGCTAGAGACTGATACATTGTCATCAAGTTCTCGCGCTGTTTGATACAGTGCGGTGAGGTGCGGCTTGCGAGGTGAGGGATACCCTCAAAGTTGATTGATTATTACCATCACACTGTCCCCGATGACATGCAACGGTAGAGATGCCCTGGTTTTTCACCTGTCGTAGTCCATGAATAAGACTATTCGGCCAAATTGTTCGTAGTCGTCTTCGCTCCAAGTAAGATACTAGCCATACAGACTATTGTAGCGACATGTGTGTGTGGTTGAACACATACAACAACTGAGCCTGAGCCTCCTGGACTGGGGTTTTCTGGTAGCCACTATCGAAGAATAGCAAACAAGATTCATTGCAGAGGTCGGTAGAGGGTATAGCAGCAGTATCGGGGATCAGTGTCTTGCAATGGCTCATCTGTCAATGCTAGGCGCAATCTCACTAGTAGTCATTCCCATTTTTCACCTCCAGGTTGGTAGGTGAAATTTGGAAACAGTTGAGTACTCTACGCAACCTGGATTGGGATACCGCATGATGGCTCTTCACTCACGTTGTAGTATTCTCGATCCTTTTTATCCTTTCCAATAATATTGCGTGAAATGTAATCGACACTATGAAGCGCCAGAGTTCGGTTGAAGCTTCATAGCAGACTTCTCGAGCTTCTAGTTTCCTGTCGCGAACAATTTAAGAAGCTTGAACTATTTTTACGCACGTTCCAAAGTATGTGGAAGCTTTAGTGAAAAGAGATGCTCGGTAACTTAGCCTCAGGTAATCTACCGAGTCTACCCCAGATGGTGCAAATGCGTCTCCAGTATCTCTTGGAAGCGGAGGACCCCAGAAAACATGAACAACAGGTGCGTAGTCCGTTGAAGAGCATTCGGGAGCTAGAAACGACTGATTGTTTGCTGACCCGTTTTAGAGTGGGAAACGATCACACTTGAGTCGGTATACAGCGTTTGCGAAACATACGGAGATGTGGCACGGATACGGTGCTCGTCGCGCCAAAGCACCAGTTCTAGACTGTGTGGTACATGTGCATGCTCACGGCTTCTCTGTTGATGATACCTGCTATGTAGTGCAACCTTGATGTAATTCTCTTCAGTTCCTGAGCACGTGGTTTCCAGAGACATTTGCCTTTCCATATTTAAGTGATCCGTGTCATAGTTGGATGTGCGGCGAAACGTACATAGGCAACATGCGCGCGGGAAGAAACCTAGTCACAGTCCGCCATGGTATTTACCTGTGTCACCGATAGAGATAATCCCTTATAGATCTTAGGTTGCCTGCCTCTTTCGTCCAGGACCCATCTAGTATGTTAGGTTCGCCTCTCCATGGATGTTGCTAGTTGACCCCTAAAATCGGTAGGAATAGTAGGTTCGAAAAGGTGTACAACTAAGCGTGGCATATCCCGAGAATTGTCGAGTATTTGCGGGATGAACCATTGTAGCGTACTCCGTTATTGGTATGAAGCGCACTTCTTTCGGGAAGATCCATATCCAGATAAGTGCATCTTCAAGTGTTGCTTTTCCTGCCGCAAAACTCGCGCTTTTGAGGTCGTACTGCAGTCCATCTTAAGACAGGAGCTATGCAAGTTTATAAATGATGCATGCGTTTACCATTGCAAGTCCACCCGGCCGACGCGGGGACACCTTTGTCGTCCTATCCGTGTTTGAAAGACTGGGTGTTTAATACGTCCGTGGCATCCACTTCAGCGCTACCATCGCTCCCAAATATGTCCTTGAATTTGTTTTAAAATCATTTCGCCCTCTGGCTTACACGCTCAGCGATCCCGCCTCGGGCATGTTTAGCCACCGCTACACCAACAACGGTCGCTCCGGTTTTGCACAACGCAGGTTTGTAATGGATCGGTACTGTATCAGACAAAAGTGGGGTAATGCAAGTAGGTTCGGTGCTTCCACCTACCCATCCTACGTCCCTGATAATGCAATTAAGGTAGCCTGATGAAGCAGCCCAGTTCTCAACCGGTTTTGCAGCCATCGTGATTCGGTCAGCATAATGTACGGCGACGATGGCCCTCCCCCTGCGCGATAGGTTATTCTACCCCAATAGAAGGGACCCAGGGTCTGCTCCTTTTGCCGTCTCGGGCTTTTCAGATGTAACGTTGACTTATAATTCCAAGTCATAGAAAATAGTAGCCTTCGGCGGCCATCGGTGACAATCAACGTACACATATTTGGGTTCAGCAATGACACAAACAAGGTGGGATCTCTGTTCAACCGAGTGAGTCTTTTGACTGTCCAAAGCTAAACGTGCCCATACTTCTTGAATGCATGTGTCATAGTTGATAGCTGAAAAAACGCCGCTTTATCTAACTTCAGTACCAGGATATCGACAGTGGTTAGTTGAGCTTAGTAACGTAAGATCGAGTGTGTGATCCGGTTTCAGTGTTGTCTGGTTCCTTAGCTGAACGACTATCGACTTGTTATTGTTGATAGCCAACCTCAGTATGTTTTTTAAACGCTTCCAATACTTCAAGCACCTTTGGAATCTCGCGGTAGTGGTTGAGATAAATGGCTGTGTCATCAGCGAAGCCAGGATATAGCAATGATCTCTGCCCTTCCATTGGCAGTGATTTGTACTTCGTGAATATCCAAACACTTGCAAGAAGCCTCGAACGCGCTGTCTAGGACGAGAATGAAAAAGCAAAGGTGCTATTGGGCAGCCTTTTTGGATCC